ATTTATTAATATTAATGTATTTTAATAATTTCTGGTCGCGTTGTATATTCATTCTATCATCTTATAGTTACTTGATTATTTCCTAAAACTGTTTACATCATCACATGATATGTTTAATGGAATTCAAATACTACCACACGATGCATGTATAGCTGATCGCAATATTTACACCATAATTTTCTAGGTGGCCTAAGATAAAGGCAAATATTTGCCTAGACAGCTTCTTATAAAACGATGTGTGTGTGCGTATGAGGTTGTGTATACATTTTATACCCACGGACGCTGCATGGGTGGCTACAACCCTCCGTGTTTGGTAAGGGACAACATACACGTGAGCTTCGTCCCTTGCATCAACAAACAAGCAGGCTCGGTAATTTCAGAAATGAAGAAAGCTGCCTTCTTATCTGCGCTTGAGACAGGTCGCTTCCACTGTTTTCATTACCAACTCAGACTCATTGCGTGGGGATGCGCTGGGGGGATAGCTAGTTTTCGGCCAAGAAAAAGGTGTGTGATGCTTGCATGAGGTTATTGTCTCCTCTGCTTTTACCGTATCTCTGAATGTTGTGAATTGAAATAATTTTGAAGTTTGCTTTTGAAGACTAAATCAATATGCAAGCAAACTTTAATTAAACATTGAAGGAATAAAGAAAATAATGTGCAGAATAATTTTAATGACTTATTAAAATTATATATTATTGAAGAAGCGCTTTAATAATATTTATTTATTTGCATTATTTTTCGCTTGACACTATTTAGACCTAACCATCAATTAAATTTCGGTGTTCACGTGAGTTCCCGTTTTAAATAAACGTACTACGAAAATAATTAATTTCCATGCTATTGCACATTTTAAATTATCCATCATTAGTTTGCTTGAATCGCAAGTTGACCGAGAAGTGCAGAACAAATGCAATTTAAATTTACCTATTCCTATTGAAATCGTCCTCACTGACTTAACGTTTCAGACACTGTATTTTCCCTAGAAATATGGTTGATTTTTTGGCATTTATTTCGTTATTTAATCCTTAGTGGATTAATTCTATTGTTTGGCTTAACGTACTTTATTTGTACTTTGAGGTATCGGCATCATTCTATCATTCTTTAATTTGCATTCATTGAGAAACTGAATGCTGTTTCGGGTACACATCGCGGTCTAAGCTGTTTGAAAATTTTCAACTTTTCACTCGATGGCGGAATCTTTGTGTTGGGAAGAAATCCATAACATACGAAGAAGTATAGTAATTAGCTACAATTATTTGATAACAATTAAAAAAATATAATAACATTTTCTGGAGATTTATTTGCTATTTTCAATATCGTAAGTATGTTCTAAAATTGTATTGTTTTGCTAGTAATTCTCAAAGCTTTCCTAGCTAAGTGAAACGCACGGCAGTCCCTGAGGGGAAGCTGAGTAACCTGGCCAGTTAAATTAGCCACATGTGTCGTGTCGCTCCCGAGAAAATGTTAACTACTCTCGACTGTGACAGTTCCCGTCTCGGGAATGACAGTTCTTCAGGGGGAAGTACGTGACATTCTTTTTCTGGTGAAGGCGGTCATATTTCATGGTTTATGAGCGAGCGGCCGGTGCTGTCAGTTTTATAATAAATGAAACTCGTGAGAGTCGAGCTTATTCTTTCCGTCCACGTGTCACGCGCGATATCATTTACGGCAGACTTTGGCAGCAGGCTCCCGATGTTGTATTCTTGATCAAAATGTACTTCGTTTTTGCCTTGAAGTTTTTAATTTGCACGGGCGTCTTTGTTTTAGAGTGCTTATTTGAACTCTCGTCTTTTTAATGGAGTGTTCATTTAAACGCTCGTATCTACCATGAATTGTTCAATTGCGCGAGCGTTTCGAATTAAGAATAGGTTTTTAATGACCGTGCAGTTTTGCTCTAGACACTTGCTCATATCTTTCGCTCGTAGTATTTGCTTGGCCCGGGAAGCACCATTATTTTTTTTTTGGTCACAATTATAATTCATAAAATGATTAACTGCTGTTGAGAGGAATATTCATTCCATTATTAGAACTGTGCAGAATGCAAGTTTCTAGATTTCATTATTTCTATTACTTTGTATCGCTCTATATTAGTATTGAATCACAAATAAAATTTTAGTATTCCTTTTGGATTTAAAACGACGTCAAGTGCGATGTCTGTAATATGATGAAAAATTAATTCCTACGTATAACTGCTTAGTTAAAGCTACACGAAGCTCGTGCTCGCCCTCGGTCTTCGCCTCTCACAAGGATTTTTTTCCCGAGCACTCCCTGCCACTCCCAAGCCTTTTAGCGTAAGAGTTAATTCGTTTGAGCTTCTCGCTTGTTTGTAATTTCTTTCAGAAGCTCGTCCATCACTGACGTCCTCATATTTTTTACGGCCATAAGGTCCTCCCGCCCCTTCGTTGCTGATGCAAAACTGCCAGGCGTCCCGCTTCTGTGGATACGTTGACAAATGCTCGGTCTTACTAGTGTGATGAACGTACCAGCGCAGTTAACGTTCCCTGCTCGCAGGAGCACGTTGACAAATGCGCGCTCTTACTCGTCCGACGAACGTACCAGCGCAGTTAACGTTCCCTGCTCGCAGGAGCACGTTGACAAATGCGCGCTCTTACTCGTACGACGAACGTACCAGCGCAGTTAACGTTCCCTGCTCTCGGGGATGTGCAAATGATGTAGGTACACTCTCATTGACAATGCGTTCCAGTCTCGCTGGGGTACGTGGAGTAATGCACTCTATTTTGGCGATCGTACTTGCATATCTAGTGTTTATTTATTATTTAACTTTCGTTGTCCTCCTTAATCTAGTGATATGCGAACGCTACTGACACGAACGTTTATTAGCGTTTTAGTCTCAATAATACGAATACATCATTAGTAATACATCTAATGGACATCTTCCGTTACCCTGCAAATCGAAGTTGCTCTAGATAAATTTTAGTGCGATAAGCACCGTGATTCTGAAACACGTTTAAAACACTACGATCATTATAAGGCGAAACTTAATGAATTTTCGAGGGTGATTTCGCGCGTATACGGCAAATGAAACAAATGGGCCTCGATAATTCTGATGCTTCACCCCTAGGTTGATCTAAAACATTAATTACAATAACGCTATCGGTACTTCTCAAAGTATTCGGCAAATTCTTTATAAATATGAGAGCGGTACCTCTTTTAGCCATTTTAAATTTTTGTGAATCTATATACAATCTTAATACTGTTACGTATAAATAATTTTCAATAAGAATATTAATTTCATTATGCTCACAATTGCGAGATTGAGTAAACTTGTTCCCACATCGGGACAAAATCGTCTGCTGAAGTGGGATGCGAAATAAAATTTGGAAAAAATCCACGGGTTTTGTATCCATATTTTATTATTGATCATGCTCAAAATGCTTTTAGAAAACTTTTCTACCGTCTCTTTATATTAATTTGAAGTAAGAATGACTTAAAATAATGCAGTTTTATGTCGATATTAATTCCGAGAAAACAACGAAAGTGGAGGCTGGTCCACAATTATTCATATATACTCTCTCCTCAGTCTCTCAAAACTCCACGAGCACCTCAGCAAATAAATATTGATTATAAAACTCCACAGTTGTGAACATCAGAAGTTGTTATTATCATGTAAAATTATGTTTACGTGTTTTGTCCAATCTCAACTAAGCCAGTCGGACCTCATCCATAGTTTTCTCGGCTTGTCCATGTCCATGTTCAGTCTAATTTTTCGCTCATATACACGTTGACGCAAGAAAATAATCGCTGCTGTTCACCATCACCGCAACTTAAATTTCTAACAATCTATCTTATAGTTCGCAGATACACTGTAACCTTGACGTTTGTATCTTCCGCCAAGATGATTAATATCATTTAATCACCTTTTGTACTCGATTATATCATTCCTTATCATTTATTCGTTTCATTTGTACTCGATTAGGCTTTTCCAGTGAAGATTCATAATACAAACATAGTTTAAACTTTCAGTTATCAGAGTTACCCGTTAATTAGCTTGAAAGACCAATCAGTACTATTGCTTCAATATATATAAATATCAACGAACTAGACATGACAGCTTCTTCTTGAATTTATTTCTAAAAGTTTTCCTACCAAAGCTTCCATGGCCGCGAGATTATTATTGCTGATCGTAAAACTATATTTTTAATGCTATATTATTTTTAAATTAAAGTGATGTTTGTTTAAAAGCGTTAAGGCGCCATAAAACGAGGGCCTTTTGTGTTGGTCCTGCGCGAAGGATACCAGCGAACCTTGCATGGTGGCCGCCCCATGCGCTGCAGCGCCGTCTTTTATTGCGAGCTTTTATGGCGCGCGACTCTTGCCTTGCCCAACTTATGGGCTCGCTTCATAATAAACCCGCCCGCTTTAGTGTATTAAATGCTCAAGACTGTGCAACAACTCGCCACTTTAGGGAAACTAAAAGCAACTTTGTATGGTTATATTCGTCTCCGGCTCGACTTATATTGCTCGCGGCTTAGTTTTAGAAGACATTTCGACTAGATCAAATGTATGACATGTGTTGGTTACGGCATTTTTTCTTCGTTCAAACGCTAGAGCTTGGTCGTTATCCAGCTATCATGAATTTCATCGACTCTATATGATTTATAGAAATATAATTTATGTTGTTTATTTATTTCTAATGTAAACGATTTGCCGCTGCCTTCTAACCTAAAATCCCTAATTTCTGACAATCCCTAAATTGCTATGAGATCGTTATTGTGTACTTAAACTCAACTTCAATGTTATACAATCATACCCTGGGTATCTTTAATGTTCTGTAATGCCTTACGTTTAGTATTTTCTTATTCGTTATTGGTTTAGATATTTTTTTTATCGGGCGTTGTTCATTGTCTTTCTACTTGTTCTATCATCAAAACTAAAGATGAACCGCACTTTTTAATTATTTCTAAACTCCTTCGTATTTTTGACTAGATCAAATTGTATGCATGTATCTCCTGTTAACCGTGTCATTCTTTTTCTTGCAGGTCGCGGTGGTGCTGAGGAAGATCACAAGCGTGTATTCATCATTGCGTCGGTTTCATCAGTTCAGAACGCAACATGCACCCCGTTGAATCGCATTAGTTTCACCGCCTTCATATATAATGCACTGCAAGTCACAAAAATGTCGTGGATTTTCACAAGTTTTTGAACATCTATAGGAACAAAAAAAAGTTCATATTGGGGAATCGTAATTGAATTTTCCGAAATGGATAGTTGTCTAAAAGTATAGTAATGAATTTTCCAACCTGTTCTTTATGACATGACTCAAAGCTCCGAGTATTCGAGATCCCAATGAATAACACCTCAAGCCGATGTAGTTAACAGAACGCCTAGTGAATTCGTCTTTCAACTCTGCATGCGAATAAAATATTTTCCCAATTTTGGAATGGACTTCGAAGCCTGCAAACCACCTCCTAAAAGATGGACGAACACAGTGGCTCCGTGCCACCGGACGCGGCAGAGACCTATACACTTCTGGGTGACGGGGGCGCTGTGGCTGCAAATCTGCACGTCTTTTGCTCTCCTTGTGTCAGGCACGGACGGCTTCTGCCCGCGCGGCTGCTCCTGCAACGACGTCAACGTGGACTGCGTCGGTGCCGGCCTCGAGGTCGTGCCCATCATGCTGAACCCCAGCGTGGTGGCCATCAACCTCGCCAGCAACAGAATACAGAGTCTGCAGGAGTCGCTGAACTTTTACCCTGACCTCGTGACGCTGGAACTGTCGAGCAATCAGCTCACGTCTCTCGGTGTCAATAACTTCCAGGGGCAGGCTATCCTCAGGACGCTGAACCTGGACAGCAATAGCCTCAATTTGTTGCTCGATGGCAGCTTCCTCGGCCTGTCAAATCTAAGAATATTGACCATTAATAATAATCAGCTTACTAAACTTAATGCAAATGTTTTTAGGGGATTAGATTCCTTAGAGCAGCTTGAGTTAGTAAATAATAAAATTAAAGAAGTTGACAGTTTAGGTTTCGAATATTTATATAGTTTGAGAAGAATCAATTTGGCTAGAAACAGACTTCACAGAGTGCCCATATCGAGCCTGAACAATCTGGCTTCCCTTCACGAGCTTGACTTATGTGATAATCAAATCTCTATCGTACCTGAACGTGCCTTCCAACACCTTGCCAACTTAACTCATCTTAACTTGAATAAGAATAACATTAGTTCAATATTACCCGACTCTTTTTTCGGTCTAGAAAAACTTCAAAATTTGAGTTTACTGGACAACAGACTGACTCAGATGCCGACTAGTTCCTTCTATCCGCTGACACAAGTGACGAGCTTAGACGTTAGCGGCAACATGTTCAGCTCGCTGCCTCGAGATTTCCTGGGCAACTTGCCTTCATTAACGCTCCTCAAAATCGAGCGCTGCCCGAGGCTCGAAATTGTCTGTCCTGACGCGTTCGTGAGCGGGTGGCTGCTGCAGGAGCTGTCGCTGCGGCAGAACACGAGACTCAGAGTCCTGCCGCCCGCTGCTCTCGCCCCACTCCTCGCTCTCAAGAAGCTCGACCTCTCGTCGTGTGGGCTTGAGGCCCTCCAACCTACTCAGGTACGTGTGGGCTTGGGGCTCTCCAACCCACCCAGGTACGTGTGGGCCTGAGGCCCTCCAGCACACCCGCAGGTGCGTGTGGGCTTTTGGCTCTCCAACCCACCCAGGTACGTGAGGGCTTGAGGCTCACCAACGCACCTGCAGGTGCGTGTGGGCTAGAGGCCCTCTAACTAAACTAAAAAAATCTTGCATCTAAATTTAGAAAATTTAGGGAACTCTCCGCCTCCTGTTTGTTAAATATTTGATAAATCTCACACCTAACATTTCATATCAAGAAACATAATCTTTCATTACAAATTAGAAGTGAGCAACTAAATGGTTGATGCTCTCAGACTTTACATTTCTATCCGTCGTGGTTCGTTCTGGATTCAATCTTAACAAATTATTCTGATTCCTCTCCTCCTCCTAAAATGAATTACCCTGTTTAATAACGTTAACTTCACGAATGTCAGAGCAGGTAATATCTCTCATCTCCTGCGTTAATCGAAATGACATTAAATGTCGAGATCTAAATTCAAAATTCTAACAAGCACATTCATTGTAGCTCGATTTCAACATGTAGCTGAAGGGTCGTTATGTCGTTCATAACTACACAGAACATCGTGCGTGTTGATGATCTCTCGATCATAAGTAATATTTTTATAGATATAATACAACAAGGAGATATAAACAACTTAGCTGCTTCACCTCGCACCAGTTATTTTATTGTAACACTCCCTCTTCCTCAGGTTCCTATGCGGGAGCTGCGTGTCTTGGACGTGTCAGGCAACCCGCTGCACTGCAACTGCTCCCTGGTGTGGCTGGCGCAGGTCGCAACCAACCGCACCCTCGCCCCTGGCTCCCCTAGCTTACGGTATGCAGCGTATAGCCTCAGTGCCTCACTACTTGATGAGCACTATATGGTATGCAGCGTATAGCCTCAGTGCCTCACTACTTGATGAGCGCTATACGGTATGCAGCGTATAGCCTCAGTGCCTCACTACTTGATGAGCGCTATACGGTATGCAGCGTATAGCCTCAGTGCCTCACTACTTGATGAGCACTATACGGTACGCTGCGTTTACCAGTAACCGCTTGTTGATGAGACCTACATGAGTCAAGATCAAATAGGAGTTGAGTGCTGCTGTGCTTCTCACCCCTTGTGGAAATTCTACACGAGTTTGCTTTACTGAAACTATTTTTGCACGGTTTTATTTGCTTCCTGTCGATCCACTGCATGGAAAATTGCAGCAGAGAAGGTTTCTATCGTCAGCAGCACAATGATCTATAATCTAAAGTTTAGATAATCAAGTTTGTCCGCATCTTATCCTGCGTATTTTTGTTGGTGCTTACTTAGAAGTGCTTTTTTTATTAGTGCTTAGACTCAGAGCTGAATGTTGCTGGTCTTATCGCGTAGGCGGAATTTCTTACGTGCTACAATTCAGAGAGGTGACTGCTAATACCTGCAAACGAGGTGAAATATTTTCTGTAATGATCAGCGATAGAGTCACTTATTCGTTTGGTCTTCCATGCGAAGCAACAGACATTCAATGTAGGTACGTCTAAGGCTGTTGTGTGCCAACCTTGCTGAACTAACCTTATTTTAACATGTGCAGGCGTGCCTCTGCGAGAGCTGGGGTCGGGCGCGTGTGGGGCGGCGGTGGGGCCTTGGACCATCGCGGGTTGCGTGGGGGTGGCGCTGGCGGGGCTCGTCACCATCCTGGCGTTCTTGGCGTGCCGTTGGAGACGCGGCCAAGCCACAGCGTCCCAGGAAGCTGACGGCAAATCGCTACAATTTAGCGCAGCAGCGGTGGCTGAGAGATCAAGACAGAGGGAATTTAACGCGCCTCTGAGCTCGGAGCTGCCGCACATGCAAGTCTACTCCTCCCCCAGCTACTACTCAGCGTCAGCTCCTCCCGTACAGTTCATCTACCCCTCACCCAGACAGCCTCTGCATTCCTGTCCTTCCGACTGTCCCTGCATGCGGCAGTCACCTGCACTTCGTCCGCTCCTCAGAACCCCATCCTCCACGCCCACTCAGTCGCGAATTTTGGATAACCAAACCCCAATGACGAACAACCTCTCACCACACCTCGTGGACTTCCCTCCCCCGCCTCCCACTCGACCAATCCCTTCCGTGTCTCCGCCGCACGTATCGCCTCTGCACGCCGCGAGCGTTGGAGGACCTCACCACGTGCACCACTACAAGTACCCTCCTCATGTTCCCCTGGGCATGCAGCACTCGTATCGCTTGCCCGTGCCCATTGGGTCAGGTCCCCAGCACCTTCAGCTGCTGTCCACTGACTGGCTGTACGGCGACGACCCTCAGCATCACTGGTACGCGAGCATCGACCGCAGCAGCAGCAGCGCCGGCGCAGGTAACGAGTCCTCGGGCTACTGGGAGGAGGACAAGGAGCTGCCGACCGCCTCCTTGCTGCCGCCGGGACACAATCCACAGCAGAAAAACGCGCCGTCGTCGCCAAGTGTAGAAGATAAGAATATAGAGAACAAGAAGAGAAGTCCTGTCGAGGAGGAGGTGGTTCCTGTTTCGTACATTTGATAAATTGTACGATTTATATCCTGTGTACTATCCTTGTCCTACGTCTCGACAACCATGCGTCATTGGTAGCTAATACTTGTGTATATATTTGTACAGTGATATTCTATGGCGTTGCTATATTTGTACTTACTTGTGCTATTAAATGCCTGGAAAATATTGGCTGCGACGATTAGTATAATATTGATTTTTTTAAGGGTTGGCTCTGGAGCTCGTGTTAGTCAAGCGGTTACGTTAAGTCATGTTGCTTACTCTGACGCGGAACTCAACCGTGCAAATGATGAAATAATATTTTTACTTGCGTTCAGTTACATTGTTCGTTGTTGAGTTTTTTATTGATTTTCAGACAACTTTGGCTTAGTAGTGAAAAACTTTTTACCTGAATCGACTGATAATTAATTTATTTGTTAAAAGCTCTGCATTCCCAAAAGTCGACGGACATTTTTTTGCGATTGCCGAACAGTAAATTTTCGTGTCTATTAGCAAATATTTTTCCAAATTTTACTAAACTTATACCGTATTTCGTATTCGTTCATATTAAATTACGTTAAAGTATCAGAATTCCGAATATTGTTGGGTCAATCCCAATTTTATGGCTGACTGTTTTCGTCCTTCCTCAACTAAAACTTTTTCACTAAATACACTTAATATTAACCCGAGGAATTCGTGCTTTACTTTATCGAATTGAGGAAGGCCTTCCTTGTTTGCCCTAACGTTAACTTACTGTTTTACATTTATGTATCTAAATTGTGATATAAATATTTTTAATTATATTTATTCCATCTTTTGAATTTTAATTAAAGTTTATCCATAAGTTACTGACTGCGATTATTCTTTGATAATGTAACGCTTATTTCTCAGCGCTGTACAACTGACAACTATTTTAACATTTGCTTTTGCTCGAAGGAATTTAGTTCATGAAAACTTGTGTAATAGTCGCAGTTTGACTTTTCATCGTTCAGTTGTTAATCTTTCTTATGAATATACGTTTGTACGAGGACTCGCTTATTTTACAAAACTGATTTGAACCTTTGTTAACCTCTAAAAGAACTTGAAGTAGTCGCAACCTAAATGACACTGAAAGTTTACCCGATGGATCTAGACCTTAATTTCGGGGCAAAATGTCACCTCCATGCCTCCTTATGTATTTTTAATTTCGCCTGAACCAGAAATATCATTGTAATAATTTCTCGTAAATCGTAATTCGAACGCTCTTAACTCGTATTCGCGTCAGCTGTAGTCTTGACCTCAATAGTATGTTAGTATAGTGGCCACACGTTTACTAGCGCTACAGATATTTAGCTTTCTCGCGCCGAAAGTCATGATGAACATCACCAATGGAGGGAAGGTCTCAAATCAAAAATCGTTCATCACCCACACGTGGCCGAAAGTCTCAAGTGGCCAGGTCGCTGAAGCTGTTACGAAAGCAGTAGCGATTACATCTCACAAAGACGAAGTGACAAGGAGGGACAGGCAGAAAGCAACAGAAACCAAGACACTCGTACAGGAGGCCGCTAACACTAGATGTCGGCCGCTCGCACGAGAGAGTAAGAAGAGAAATGCCTGAAATCCTGCCTACTTCATAATAACTTGACCTCACAACTGAGACAAGCTTTCATACACCGCTAGTTCTGGGGTGGGAATCTCAGAAATAACGCCCCTAATATTTCAAAATCCCATCGGACTTTTGATACCTAAAGTCATGTAAGGAGACCATCCAGGGGGCCTGATCTCAATAGATTACAAGTCGAGCCCATTCAGACGAAGTTTCGAGGAAAAAATAAGCATTAAAAAGAGTAACAACTAATAGATAGCACTTTCAGAAAATACCCGGCATCGTCCAGGCAAAACAATAAGCTTCTGTTCGACGTTTAACATAATATAACATAGTGATGTCGGCGCTGACGAGTTGCCCTGATGTGGCCACCTGCCACCCATTCTTGTACTTTTCGTGACTTGTTGGTTGCAACGAGGGAGTAATGATTGAAAAGTCTAGTGTGGAAAAAGATCTCGGAGTTTATGTCGACAAGGAGCTGAAATTTTCTAAGCATGTTGAAACGCAAGCTAACACATCCAACAACCTTCTTGGACTAATCAGACGCTCATACGAGTTCCTAGATGCAGAAACGACGAAGCAGTTGTTTGTTGCCGTCGTACGCCCGAGTCTAGAGTTTGGAAACGTTGTGTGGTCACCGAGATTTGAAAAGGACAGAAATTTAATAGAGAATGTTCAAAGACGTGCAACAAGGATAATTCCATGCTTGAAGGGCAAGTCCTACGAAGAAAGATTGAAGATTATGAAGCTTCCAAGCCTCAGTTATCGACGTCTTCGTGGGGACCTCATTGAAGAATACAAGTATACTCATGGTCTATACAAGGTCCCTGAAGGGTTACTGGAATTTGAAACAAGAACCAACACCAGGGGCCACGGCTATAAGCTAAAAAAACTGCGCTGCAACTTCTCCACGCGACAAAATTTCTTCTCGCTTCGAATCACCGACATGTGGAACAGCCTCCCCAATGACATCGTTGGCGCTCTAAGTATGAACGCGTTCAAGAACAGACTAGATAATGCTGTGGAAAAATATATGTTCAGATTTGAAATGCCTAGCTCCTTATCGAACCCGTTGGAAGTCTAGTAGCTACTTCAAACTATCGTCAGTCATGAAAAGATCCGGTCAAATGACACGAGTTTAGATCTATGAACAAGGCACGAAAAGGAAAAGAATCGGCGACAGGCCACATCAGGCCTACTCTTCAGCGCCGACATAACTATGTTATGTTATGTTACTAGACTCCAACCGGGTTCGATATGGTGTTAGGCATTTCAAGTCTGAACATATATTTTTCCAAAGCTTTATCTAGTCTGTTCTTGAACACGTTTATACTCGAAGCGTCAACGATGAAATCGGAGCGGCTGTTCTATGTCCATGTCGGTGATTCGAAGCGAGAAGAAATGTCCCGTAAATAAGTTGCAACGCAGTTTTCTTAGTTTATAGTCGTGGCCCCTGTTGTTGGTAATTGTTTCGAATTCTAGTCTTATTTTGCAGTCATCTTCCCGTAATGTGGGACACCTGCTATTCGCAACAATTGCCAGATAATTATTTTTTTATTCATGGTGATTGTGAGATTTAACGAGCGAGATCATAACAGTTCCGTGACGAAGAATAGTCAACGGGTTGTAGATGGAAGCTGACCTTCTTTCTCGTTTCAGTACACGTAATGGAATCAGACAATCTTTAGCTGCAGTTCACGCATTATATTTTTTAGCCGTGCTAAATATTATTTGTTTGAGTAGGAGTTATCTGGGGAAGTACCTTAAATTAAAGAAAAAACACTTCAAATTGTCTTGTACTTCTAAAAAGATCACCACAAAAAAATACGTCAATGAATAATATAATCGCTACGGAACCTATCTTACATCAAATTTTTTATATCTCTGCAACTAAATATTGTCAGAAGAAACGTTGCTGATAATTTTGAGATGAGAAATCATTTCCATAATATATCTATCAAATTAATCTCTGATAGAAATTCAATAATATTGCAAGCCTAAAATGTATATCCCTAGGGCTCATTTTGATTTGTGACTCTTCCCGCTTTACTTAATACCATTCCACAAGTTTGACCGACGTTGAAACTTAACCCATAACATAAGCTCTCAGGCCCAACGGTCACCCTTGTGGCTGTCCTGTGGCTTTCAGTCCACCCAACGTGGACACCTTGAAAAGAAGAAGAAACTTAACCCATTAATGCCGAGCGGTTCCATTTGGAACCAGCGGAAAGAAATTGATTCATAATAAAATTGTATGGTCAAATCAATATACTAGTGGATGCGTAGGTTTTATACACATCTTGGACGTGTTCTGGCAACGTTTGGTTCAGCTGCGCCGACTACTCCCTGCTATTATGAACAACCTTGCTTGATTTACTATCGGAAAAAGTGTTGTTTGAAGAAACGTTATGTTAATGCCGAGCGGTTCCATATAGAACCAAGCTATAATTTTTCACATACAACGAAAAATAAATATATGAACATACTTATTGCTTATTACCATCACAAATGATAATATTCTCACAAGGAACTGGAAAAAAATTCAGAAAATAATTCTCGTCATTAATGGGTTAAACAAAAAGGCATTCAGTTTTTTCAGTAACATGGCATTGGCTGACGACCGACATGGAAGCTTGGATTGGACTACATGAGAATTAAAAGGACTCTCCCCGTTCCACGGTTTGTTTTGCTCAAAGTTTGTGACAAACTAATTAATATTATGTTTTAATCAAGATTTGAACTTATTACTTGTATCAGTTGTAACTTTTATGTGACTACACTCATACTAGAGTAAATAAAATTAAGCTCATCGCCCATCGGCCATAACCTGGGTGGCTAGGTACTGCAGTTTGAGGGAGGCATTGCCAACTCGGTAGGCTAGTCAGTATTGGATTTCAAACCATGCGAGATTTTGGAAGCACGGCAGTTTCTGATGAGCTCAGTGTATCAATTTTCACTGCAGTGGAAGGTGTAAGTGTAACGTGGTAGGTTTTTTGATACATTTCCTTATGTTAACATGAGAATATATTAGGTACCTACTACGTAGGCTAGGTAGGCTATACAGAATTTCACACTGCTTTGGTGGGTTTAACATAAATACAGTTTCCAATGCGGAAGACATTTCAATACACACTTGCCAACTATCTCATTATTCTCTTATTAAAAAGTTTACTGATAAACTTAATCCTATATATTGATTGTTATATTGTAAACTAATTGAGCTTTGAGCAGAGCCAATTTAAGAAGCCTTGTATGCTACTAATTTTCAGGCATCACTAGCAATCTCTTTGTTTGATGTGTAATGAACTGGGATCAACATAATAATGTTAAAGCCTTTAAAATAATGCATATTCAGTTCCAGTTTATTAACACATTGCCAAAATCTCACTTTTCACACTTTTCTTCAGGGAGTTTTTAGCACGGTGTGTACCGCCACTGCCAGTACCGGTCATGGAAAACCTGGAAAGTCATGGAATTTGATTCATCATTTCCCAGGCCTGTAAAGTCATGGGATTTCATTTCAGGTTATGGAAAGTCATGGAATTTGCAAATATTGAAGAAAAAAGGAAGTGTTTTTCTGTGCTGCGTCATGCGTGTAGCTAACCTATTAATGCCAAGCGGTTCCATTTGGAACCAGCAGAGAAAAATGGATTCATAATGAAATTGTAAGATGAAATGTACCTATAAATATACAAGTGGATGCATAGGTTTGATACACATCTTGTACATGTTCTAGCAAAGTTTTGTTCTGCTGCCGTGCTGCGCTGACTTATCTCTTTTCAGCCAACATTCAAAGATTAGGTAGGGTAAACGCGGTATATTCCGACACATTAAGGACGCATCGAGAAATGAAAAACTATAAAAAAAACGTATGCGTTACGTAAGTTCTGTTGCCTTCACATGACTCTCAAAACACTTCACTACGCGTCAGCAACTCCAAGACCTAGTGTTTTTGCAGTATTTCGACACGCAAATGTATGACGTCACCATTTCAACCATCAATGAACGCATGGAACTAAAACAAAGCTTAATATAAAGGAAAAACTAGAGAAGTGACGGAATTACCTACGATGTCGGAATATACCGCGTTTACCCTACTAAAACCTGGTTTTGGAAAAGTCATGAAATTTTTTTTCTAAATACTGGTACGCACCCTGTTTTAGAGGTAGTAAATGTAAGATTTCTTTACTTGCATTATTCTACATAAATAGGAAAAATATTTAACTTTATGCCACTATTTTTGGTTTTGCATTATTTCAATTAGTTTAATTGCTACAACAGTTATATAAAATGCTGGAGGACTGTCCTGATTTACCTTGCCTGTCCCTTATTACCCCGTTTGACAGTATAGAACTGATAAATGAACTTTAGGAAGAGTCTTACATCTCCAAAAATTAAAAGAAGCTTTAATGTGTGAAAAAGCTGAAATTCTTACCATTGTTCATCATTCAGTAGGTACTGATCATTCAGATTATTTCTAGCAGCTAAAACTGCAAATTTTTAATGCTTAAGTATTCATTCTAATTTCAGATCAGTTAAGATTTTTCAAAATGACGGCTGATCTATCCACTCAAGAGCAGTATCTAGCTCAATTGAAAGAAGAGGATCCAGAATTTTACCGTACCATCATTTCCGCAAAAGGGTTGCTTAAATTGCCTGATGATTTTGTGGACAAAGAACTTAATGCTGTTCCAAAGCCCAGAAAAAAATTCACCAAAAATGAACCCCAATTTGGCCCACTTTCTGATGATGAGGATGATTATGAAGAAGAACAAATCTCTGCAGCAAACAGAGAGAAGATAGCTGGTGATGTAAGTACAATGTGATAGGTGTTAATTGTTCAACTTCTGGGATATTCTCATTAGATAAACGTAGAAGGAGATTTGTATTGAAAGTTGAGTTATTTCAATAAATAGGGGTATTTCATGAATGATCAGTAATTGGTGATACATGTTTGAACTATGGCTTGTGCAAAGTTTGTTCTTTTTAGAAAATTATTAATTAATTTGCATTCTGCCAGAGTTCCCTAGAAGATACTTTGATAACACAAGCTGTATCAACTTGAAAAGTTTTACCTTTTATTTGAGTTATATTATGATTCAAAAATGCTAACATCTCTGAAAAATCATGTTTAACATATATAATGATTCTTTCAAATGCTTGTTACTAGATTTTAACATAATTAGGATATCAACCTGTTGTTCTAGCCATAGAAATAGAATTTACTCTCTAACTGATGTTGATGACATTCTAATGCAATGCATGGCAGGGTGGAAGTGAAGACGAGGATGAGCCAGAAGATGTTTTTGAAGGGGAAGACTCGGGTGATGAAGAGCAACCTGGTGATGAAGTTAAACCTTACCAGGGCAAGAAAACAGAAGTCACCACAGCTCTGGTCAAGAAGTGGAAAATTGCTCTGCACAAAAAAAAGTAAGTTGCAAATTATAGAACTTCAATTTGGGCTCTATAAAATTGTATTTACTTTTTTATTATAAAGAAAGATCATTTATGTGTTCTGAAATAAAAATAAATAAAATCTTGTTCACTTGTTCTGGCGCCTAAGAGTTATTTTCAAGACTAAACAAGCTTGCCAATATTCTATAATTCTAAAATTTTTATAATACTGTATGTATGTATTGTTGTTCAATTGATTCATATATTGGTAGCATATAAGGCAGATTCAGAAAGTTCTAAGAAGGTTGATGTGATGCCACTCAGTAACTGGACATAACTGAAAACTCAGCATGGCTGGATGTACTATAGGTATAGTATCTTTGGATCTAAAATTTTCATAGCATGTTCCCACAGTGAATGCATTTGAGCTGAGATATTTTTCAAATAATGGAGTCGATGGTTTTTGTGATCCTAAATGAGGCATGAAAGAAACTGATCCTAATATATGCACTTGATAGCCTCTTTATCACATCAATTTACTCTCTAACATAAAAATTTCTGTACTGTAGAATTGAGATATGACTTGTTGAAACTCTGTCAACAGAAAACATATCACCAAATTTAAAAAATTCAAGGATTTAGTTGCTTTTTTCAAATATATTTTTATTGCATGAATATTAGATTGAGTTAAAATTCCTCAACCAAACAACCAAATTGCTTTGTCTTTTGCTACTACTACGGAAAATGGAACTTCAAGTCCTGGTGATATTGCAGATTGATAGGTATTGGGAATTTATAACATATTCATTCAAACAATAGTCTGGAAAACTGCATGCTTGAAGTGAAAAGTTTAGAAAAAACCAACAATATTTTTAAAATCTATTACTATATATTCTAGAAAATTGGTTTATCTGTAGCCATGTCTCTGGTAGCATGTCTAGTGATGATCTGAACCTGGATATGAAATTTCATTTCTAGTAGTGAGAAAATTTGGCTGTTCACTTTTGGATTATTGATTAAATGGGAGATAGGCAAGATCTTTTGTTAATAACTATTACCCATGTTTTAGAATGACCTTTTTGTCTAAAATATTCATATTGGTAGCATCAAATCTTATCAATCTCTAGCAATGTTTTCTGTTGTTGTAATACTGTAGAATTTATTTGTTTTATTTGCATTCGTATAAAGTTGTGAAATGCAATGAAGTATCTTTGCTTGTTTTAACACGTTGACTATGTAGTGGTACATAATTCAGGTTGCCTAAAATTGGCCAAATCCGAGAACAAAAAAGGCCGATAACTCAAAATATAATAGTTTATTTGTGGGTTCCACTATAAAAATTCCATTCATTTCCTTTTTGCAGTATTTAAAATTTAATTAGGAAGTATCCCTATCATAAATTTTAGCCGGCCAATGCAATTGAGAAAAACTAAGTAACCGAATTTGTCCTGGAAAAAATTACCGTCTGGCAACCCTGTTTTAAAACAGTACAAAAAATGAAATAATAGTACAAGATGAAGCAATCGTAGTCAACGTGTTAACAATACTTATAATTCACACAAGCTTAATCTTTGATGATCATTAAAACTGTAAATTATCTGATTGTGCTTGTTTACTAATGTGTTCCTATGACCGTGTCATATTTCAGACCAGATGAAGCATTTCGCGATGTCTCTGAAGCTTTGCTCGCTGCTATTGAGAGTGTTGACTGCTCTGGCTCTACTACCACAAAGTTCATCGTCAAAGCACCTAATAGTGAGTTGCTGTCTCAGTTCAATCCATTGTGGCACCATGATCCCATTTTCATTTACTGTATTATTGCTCCCAATTATCCTCTGACGAAATTGCAGTGAGATGTCAGCACAGTTTGAAATTGATTTAATATGATGTCTGCTGGGCCAAATGAAATGGAAAATTTTCTTGCTAGTGATTTTATTTTGCTATTTATTGGTTGAATTAAATTACTGGTATTTTCCTGTTAAGTTTTCCTTTCAACTTTTTTCATGGTTGCACACGAGAATGAAACTCAGGTCATTCTTATTGAAGACTGTTTGAAAGTATGACCACCACTATTTAAAAAATGATTTGAATCCTAAATCTATTTTACTCTAGAGAATTTTCCTAAAGCCTATTTGTTCATTTTTTTATTCTGATTGCAGCAAAGCTACAAAACTTTATAAACAACAAATATCATTTTGTGTTGTTTTACATTTCTCAATTTTTCTTTCTATGCGATGAATTTGTTTAATCGGAGCTTTTTCTCATTGTGTTAATGTGCACTGCACTCATTATAGCAACTACTTAAGATCCATTCAAACCCAACATTTGTGTACTCTATATTTAAATATATTGTGCAGTTTACAACCAGCTGGTGCACGTAGCACTGCTTGACATGGTGCCTGCTCTACGACAGATGCTGCATGTCAATAATCTCTCTCAGATGCACACTTGTAAGAAGTACAAACGATACGTGCCCACCATTCGAAATTTCCTTCAAAACCTCATGAAGGTAAGAATAAAATCGATTGTTGCATTAGTTTTGTCCCTGTAAGCGTTCGACTTATGATAGTCTTCTTCCTGTTTCAAAAGTTACGTCATTCCTATCTACATGTGTATTTTTGTCCTAGAGTTTGGTCACTACCTTCATTTGAAGTAAAATCCTCTACTCAAACGTCTATTACTCGTTACGACCGTATTTTCTTACTCTTTGAAGCCTAAAGAAGTATAAAACATAGCAAATTGGAAACAACAAGAAAAATATTTTATCCAGAAAAGTGTTACGGATGAAATGCCAATATGTTCTCAAATTTAATTGCATGCAAAATTAGTGGCCGAGTACTTAGGCTTCACTGTACTTCTTGCAGAACCATAACAATGATGCTGGAGTCCATTCGCTATATATACATACCTCATGTAATCATTGTTATATTATAAAACTGTGTTAGGTTAATAACAAGTTTGTTTTCAGTTGTTTGAGAGCATCACGGAGCCATCACTGAAGGAGGTTATCTTGAGGCGCGGCGTGCTGCCTCTCATCTCTGTGTACAAAGACCTGCCAAAGCAGTGCAAGAAGTTTGTCAAGGACCTGGTCGAGGTCTGGTCATCAGGCCACCACAAGACACGCGTGCTTGCCTTCCTCGGCCTCCTTAGGATTGTCAGGATCAGCGAGGCTGATATTTATGACTTCACTCTCAAGGTAATAAAACTTATGTTAAAAACTTTACTTTACTCTACTCAATGGCCAAGTAAAAGCTAAGTCTGTTTTCTCGTTTTGTAACTTCTGTGTTGATTGCAAGTGCAAGTCATTTTGCTTAGTAAGGCAAAGTTTTTATTTATATGACTAATAGTGAGTTTCTTGCTCGATATGAACTTCGATATAAATGAGAATTTTCATTATTACCTATCACGAACATCATTTGATTGAACGCAATCTTTTTATTGGTCACAATGTCTATTGAAAAACTTATTTATTTAAAAAAATAGTTATTCACTAGAAAACTCATTCTTACCTTCATTTGCATGATAACCAATTTGCGCATGCAATTGGTGTTTATTAATAGATTTGTATCAGAAAGCCTATATCTAAAGACTTTATCATTACCATACAATTTACCGTAATGCATTTAAAGAAACATAACATCTACTTCCAAGGCTACTCAAGAACCAGAATACATTTTACAGAGGAAGACAATATTACCTGCCAATTCGTACGATTTATTAGTAGGTAAATTTTGTTATTTCGTGACCAAAACGCATATTTAAAGGATTTGAGGCTTTGGTTTTGTGTGTAAACTCAATTTTGTGGAGAACGTTTTGATAAAATAAACTTGGATGCGTTCGTTTGCATGAGGTGGTTCAAAACTTCAAATAATTTCTATTGAATAAAGAACGTTTTTGTGCGTTGAAGAAATTCATTCTGTGCTATTACAATTATTTTTAAGTGGCCACTTTTACAGTAGAGGCTAATTATTTTTCCATATTAGTGTTTTTATTCTAGTAAGTAGACATGCCAGCCAACGCCATCCTGTCTTTCGGGAAATGATTTCCGGCATGATGAAACTTGAAATAGAAATTATATTAATTTTATTACCAAAAGTGAATGATGTCTGGCTTTAAGTTGAGGAGTAATTTCTATTGACCAACCTTTAATTGCGAGCCTGGCTACCAAGTAAGAATTGATTCACACTGAGCTTTCTTCTCAACTCAATCCATAACCTTTCTTTAATTTCCAGGGAAATTTTTAGCGCTGCTTTCATCAGTTCATTGTATTTCGCGTCAATATAATTAAAAGAACTTAATGAACATTGTCATGTAGGTAATTGTGTTACATTGTCATGTAATTGTGTTACATTGTCATGTAATTGTGTTACATTGTAATGTAATTGTTTTGCTTGTTGCAGACAATGTACCTAGCGTACGTGCAGAGCTGTCGCTTCACGTCGCCCTCGTCTCTCGGCGTCATTTGGTTCATGCGCGTGTCTCTGACGGAGCTCTACTCGCTCAATCACGCGCTCGCCTACAGACACGCCTTTGTTTATATCAGACAAATGGCCTTCCATCTTAGAAATGCCATCATTGCCAATAAAAAGGTGTCGTATTTCCGCGCATATTTTTGTCTGGGATCTATTGTAATGAATTAAAAATCACGTACAGCGACTTTAAAGGTACTCCCTCCAAGTATTCGTTTCGTGTGTTAACCTAGTATCGCCAATTGATTGTGATGTTTTCTATTTATAATCCCATAGGATATGAATGGCTGGTCTTGTTTACAGGAGAAGATGCAGCTTGTGTACAACTGGCAATTTGTGCACTGCCTACACTTGTGGTGCACAGTGCTGAGCCACACGCACCCTAGCACCGTCCTGGAGCCGCTGGTGTACCCCGTAGTGCAGGTGAACCAACTAGACTATTAATATCGCATGGTTTAGTCTTTAATTAATGGATGAATTGATACGGCTGGAAACAAAACATAAACTTTTAAAACGTATTAAGTACCACTTAATTACAAGTTCACCGAAACATTATTATGATTATCTTTCCATGATATGTTGTGTTTAGTTTTTGTTTTCTGGATGTTTTCTATTTTTCCAGGATGTTTTCTGTTTAGTTTTTTCCTTGAATGCGGGTTTTAGAGAGTATCCTTGACCGATAGGCTTCACGGATTTTAGCAGTTAGTTGAAAGAAGTTTATTGTAGCCATAATCGTGATTTGCACAACTACGACTGCAGGTATTTGTTACAAAATCGATATTTGTTCGATTTCGTATTTCGCAATAGATTCTGACACATAAGTAAACCTAATAGAAGAGCCCACTATCTCAGAGGTGAATTGCTAGTGTGTTAACACCGAAGCAAAATTACCTTGCAAAAACAAAAACGCTGATTATTTCTTGCCAATATTCTATCTCGTTTATGGGAGGAAGTACAAGCCTTTGTATTTAATTGAGTAACAAAATCTTTGATCACAAGTATTGTGTTGATCATGCTCCGAACTTTTGATTTCGACGATAGTTTGATGAAGTGATAAAATTGTGCATGAATTTTAAAGTTTTATCCATATCTACGCAATGTTATTAATGCATCACAAGATTGATTGATTGTTTCTTCTCTAATTGTTGAGAATAGTGCTCATAGTTATCGATTGGTTTACCCAAGCTGTTGGTATTATTAAAGAAACCTCTTTAATTTGCCTCTCAAAACCGTCTTTTCGAACGTCTTGAAAAAATCGCCTGTTGCCCCCAGTAATTATTTATGCCTTCATCTGTCCACAGCTGGCGTTTGGGACGATGAAGCTGCAGGAGAGTCCTCGGTTCTTCCCTCTTGTGCTCCATATATGTGGGATGCTAACGGACCTCTCCGCTGCCACTTCTATCTTCATACCCGTCTTGCCTCACCTCATCAATGTTAGTTCTTGCTTTATATACAAAAATCGTATTCTGGTGTGCCTCGCAACACCTGGCTGTGGCGACTCATCTAGGGCGCGTTTCTTCTGTTGATTTACCAAATGAATATACCTGAAGATCAGTTTTAAGTTACGCATAATTTCACTATGGCTTGCATCTTAAACCAGGGTTGGCGATTTTTTTGATATTTTTAAAAAAATCAAAAAAATCAAAAATCAATAATTTTTTCGATTTTTTCATGATTTTTTTGATTTATTTGATTTTTTTTATTTTTTCAGCTTTTTTGTCTTTTTTGAGGTGTTATTTTTTATGTTGCAATTAGCCTACTAACAATAACAGTATATGGATCATAATGGATGGCTAAAAAGGGCACTTATTGCCTTCAATAATGGCCAACAGGCCAAGCTGGTGTTTACCATTTTGGGATTTTTGGGTAAACTATTATTGATCAGTCTATTCATTATCTTTGTAAAGTTTGTATGGAGCAAGGTTATGAGCTAAATATTGACCATTTAACTGGCTTCAATATATAAAAACACTTCAGGAATGCAGATCTCCTAAAGTACATTGAAGAGTCACATAACAGATAGGTAGATGATTGCACAGTGCACAGCACTATCAATAGATCTAATAGTTTTATGTCCTATAAATCTACCAGACTCTACCTTCTATACACACTGACTAGTAGTGACTTAGTGACTGACAGCACTGTTCCCATTTAATTCAGACCAATAAACCAATACTAAACATAAACTGAACGATAACCATGCCTCTGTACCAAAAACATTCAATTTATTGGAACCTAATACACACTAAAGGCAACAAGTTTATATACCAATTCGTCATTCATAGTACATTTATACTAAACCATGAATAACAATACCTCAATATAAATTAAAGACTGCCACTCAATATTTTTAAATATATGAAAAAATAAAAAAAATCGAAAAAATAAAAAAAATCATGATTTTTTTTTTAAAAATCAAGTGATTTAATCACATGATTTAATCATTTTGATTTAATCATTGCCAACCCTGTCTTAAACACTAGAAACAGTGACGAGGCCCTTCGTAGTTCCCAGTTATGATGATTGATCGCTGATTGATGAGATTTCTTGTATCTGATATTACACTTTTTTCAGCTATTTATTGCGTGCAAAATTTCTAAAATATAAGTTTTTAAACGAATTTTAAGAAATTTTTAGCATTCATGCAATTTGATGGAAGTTAGCTTCTATCAAAGAAAAAACGTTTTGAAGTTATCCTACAATGCCGTAGGAGTCATGAGCTGTGTGCAGGGGGCTAAGTTTTTAAGGATTTTGTCCTGTGTTCAGGTGATCACGCAACTGAAGGGCAACAAGTGGAACAAGGAGTTTCCGCATAGAAACAAGAAAGAAGGCGAAGCTCCCGATTATTCCCCTCCAAATTGGCGCTGCGCCCTGAAGCTTTCTGAAGGGGAACTTGGCAAGCGTGTGATCGCTCGCAGTCTCATCGAGGAGTGCCTCCTGCAGGTGACGCGCTACCTCGCTGCCGAAGCACACAACATCGCCTTCCCTGAGCTTGTTGTGCCTGCGACCATCATGCTCAAGAAATACAGCCAGAGAAAAGACTCGCTTTGTGTGGGACAAGTGCGACAACTCCTCGCCAAGATCAAGGATCATTCCGAGCTGCTCGACGCTAGAAGACAGAACGTTGACTTCCAGTTGAAGGAAGTCAAGAAAGTCCGAGACTGGGAGGTAAGTTGGGTGCTTTCGACTTTGGTTCAGCAAAAACCAGCATGAACTTATGATTAGTAAATAATTTTTTTCATATCATGATGCGTTTGCGCATGAAGAGCAATTGCCCATCAAGTTTAGGATGCAATTCAGCATCGCAATAAATTATAGTCAAAATTTTGTGTACATTTTCAGCTTCGGCGCGTCACAATATGCGTATGAATAAAATAAACGAGGTCGAGGGATGAGTGCAAGGATTCGAACTATTGTACTACGCAGTTGGACGCAGGCATTCCACAAAGCGCATTGATATTCTATTCGTGTTCTTGTCAATCTTTTGAATTTTAGTTGAAGTCTCGTTGACTTGTGTGCTCGCATCAAGAACATATTTATTATTTGTTGAACGAATTCATTTTTTAACGTTTTCTAATTGTTGCAGATAACTGTAAAGCAAGAGCCAAATCTGCCCATGATAAAATACTACGAGAATCTCATGAAGCGCGAGAGCGACACCTCTGGCAAGAGGAAGAGAGACGCGACTGCTGAAAATGAAGAGGACAGTGAATGCAGAGGCGTGGGAGAAGTGCCTGAGGAGGACATGAAAAAGCCTGCCAAGTGAGTTCTGTGTTTCCTGATGTGTGGGCTTTTAGGTGTGCATTTGATTTTATAATGGCTTAAAATCTTGCGTTGTGGTTTTGCAAGGTTTTTAAACGTTTCTGCTTAGGTTTAATTTTCCGATGTGTTGATCATACCTGTTTTCAACATCTGCTCGCTCCACATATTCGGACCGTTAAAAAACGATTGAGATATTACCTCAACATTTGAATAAATACGTCTATAAGTATTTTGCCGAATTACGCTTCATTGAATGTTTGGCTCACCTCATTCCTGTTCCACCATCGCCCTGAACTTTCAGCTCAATGCATCAATCCTCGTTCTGTTTCAGGAAGCCCAAAATTATGAAGAAAAAGAAAACAGCGGTGCTGACCAAGAAAAATAAGACTGCATCCCAATCCAGCAAAAAGAATTTGAAGAAGAAGAAGCGTAAGAGCATCGACATCCTAGCGGATTTGAAGTAAAATGTCCTGAATCACGTGTTGTTTTTCCACCCTAAACGGCAGCTAAATTTCTGATTGATCGTTGGCGTAGTGGGGATGAGAGGAGCGCGTTGATCAGAATCCTGTTGTTGACAGTGTCTAAAGCTTTGGTGAGGTAGGAGGCTGTTCTTGTAGTGATGGACGGCTCTGTAGTTCTCAGTAAGTTATGCGAATGATATTGCAACTGCATGTATGAATTGAATGTATGCTTCAGATACCTATTCTAATTTTTTGCATAAATCGCGCTTCTTCTCCTGAGAGATCACGGTTGCCCTCTGCTGGATAAAGGGTGTCGGTGGAATTGTAAGAATGAGATTGCTGATCAGCTAGATAAATTAGTGCAAAGAGCCAAGATATTATATACTACATACTTTCTTTCTGATAGTTTCTGCATCGCTAGCTCAGTTCAGATTAGATATTGTCATGCTAGGAACTAGTTGCCAATTCAAATGTTATTTTGGCCAGCGCATCACATGTTAATTGTAGCGCCTGAGGCTATATCAGTGTCAAAGCCCATTTTGCCGTACAGAAGGTTAGGACGTAATTTCACTCTTACTAGCTGGAGCCATCGTCCAGCCTCAACATGCAATAGCTAGTACTACGCCTCGGAGCTAAGAAGTCGGTGAATTGTTATATGTTGGCAGGGTGGCCCAGTGGGGCCACCCTGTACTGTAACCACTGGGGGTGGCCCAGTGGTTACAGTAGTACCAAGATTGGCGCTGTGCGCGGCATAGCTACGACATGTCATTAGAGAATCTATAAAAAGACTATGACAATTTTTCAATATTTTAAAACAAACTATCTGAAACAACGTACTGACTTGGCTGCGATTTAGTATATTCATATAGCGTGCAGATGATTTGTTTGTTTCAGTCCATGACGTATACCTTCATGACTGCGAACTAAAAAAAATCACTTCCTTCTATAATTTGTCACTTAAATTCGCGGCGATCAAGAAATTTCTTCTAAACTACAAAACAGATTTCAACGAAACTGTATATAATTACCTAACCTCTCAACAGTGATGTTTAGCTCGTGACGATTTTTTTTTTATTTTGCCTTCGTTCGCGAGTTATACAGATATAGGAGGAACGACCGGCTTTTCTACCGGCCGGTTTAACCAAGAGCCGTATACGTATAGCCGCATAACTCGCAAACGATGGCAAAACGAAAAAATTGTAACGAGCTGAACATCACCGTTGCTGAGGTTAGGTATTTAAATACTAAGTTTCGTTAAAATCTGTTCAGCAGTTTGGAAAAAATTTCTTGATTACTGCAAATTTAAACACGTATTGCTGTTTAAATCAGGAATGAAGGTGAAATGAAAAACAAAAAACTCGCGAACGAAGGCACAATCGAAAAAATGTTCACGAGCTAAACATTACCGTTCAGTAGTTAGGAGCGCAAATTCAAAATTTCGTTCGAATCTGCTCAATAGTTTTGAAGAAATTACTTGGTCACTGTGAATTTCGGCCCGTATTGCCATATAACTATGGCAAAAACAAACGATGGCAAAATTCAAACAATTTTCAAGACCTAAAATCATCATTAGGTCCTAATGAATACGTGTACGTTTCATCTAGTTGAGTTCATTAGTTTAGAGATATTACTTGATCATTGAATTTGGAAATTGGCCGTGGCCCGTGAGACCCCGCGAGTCCGGCCGTTAATTTGTCCGAGACGTAAACCCAGGAGAGGTTAAAAAACAGATCTTGGTGAATAAACCAGCGCTGGGAGTCATGTGCTGCACGTGTTGTGTACATATCGTCAAACGTTGGAACTTCTGACATTGGCTTCGGACTACCGCCCCTCAAAATCTTGTCACCGCCCCTAGGGGGGGCGATATCGCCCACTTTGGGAACCACTGGTTTAAAGTAAAGAGTGGTTGTTTAATACCGACTCCAGTGACTTTTAGCGCCAAATCGCATAAACTAATTCTATCTAGAGCTATTTTTCTCAGGCAGGAATATGCCCACAAATTTTTGGATTATGAAGAGCATGTTGCATGACCGGATGACCCTCCTGTTTCACGGGGACTTCTCAATGTTGCTTCATATTCTCCCCAAGTAATGGCAGAGAATGCCTATGGGCAAATAGTTCAGTCTTAAAATGCCTAGCAAATTACAGACCAGGCAATAAGTCCAGCAGCTATCTCAATCGATCTTCAGTTATGGAAAGATCGGGTTCCAAAGGCCGGATCCATTATTTCTTCAGTGCCGACACTTCTATTCTTTTCTAAATACCCATGAACTTAATGGCTCTGGCGTCGACCATAGAAACTTTACAACAGGTTAATTGATTCTCTGCCGGATTTTCTAAATAACTGTTTTGAGCCTTCTACGTAGTGTAAATCAAGCGTTCGGGCTCTCCTTCGTCACCTCGATCACATGCAGGTTAGGGAGATGGCCGGCATTATGCTTTGCTGAATGTTGATTAAAGCTCTACTTGAATTTTATGAATTCAAAATGAAGAGTGATGACAAATGTAGCTGATTGATTACACAGTAATTTTCGCACAACCATATATTTCAATGGATAGTTATTTGGCTCTGAACTGCGAGCTTGTAACAGCCGAAATTCTCTCGCTTGGTTAGGTTTAATGGGCAGCCCACTGCCTAGGCTAGAAGTGCGACTGGCGAGTGGCGACAGGTCAGTTGTACACGAGCTAGTGTGGGAGGTGGTGATTGTGGGTCGGTGGTGCGTAGCCCCGAGATGGATCTCGTGTCCGCAGATTTTGAGGTCTTCGGTAAAGTGCAAGGTAAGTCGAATATGTTATGTTGTGGTAATACGGAAATACAATTATAACATCAAAGTAGAGAATGAAGCGTGTTTCCTGGTTAGATTTTTAACGTTCGTGTTTCAGTGATGGAAAAAAATAATTCATTTCAGTTTGAGTTATTTACTAATTTAATCTCGAGAACAGTTTTGTAAATTTTTATAATGTGAAAAATAATAGAAATACTCAAACAGAAGTGGTCGTATTTTCCGTCAGGTGTTGACAAATTTGATTTACACTACTAAGTTCAGTAATTTGTAGTTTGAGTTATTTTATGAAATACTTTTTTATCAGATGCTGTAGTTCATCGTTTTCGCGCACTGGAGAACCCTATAGACAGTGGTGCCACATTTTCTATTTCCCTGTTCCAGATTACTTTGAAATAGAGCTAAATAAACTGTCAATCCAGTAAAAAAACTATGAAGGTAGGTGATCGCTCACTAATTTCTTCATGCCATTCGATTTATGCTAATGCTTGCTGTGAATTGTGTCGCGGAAAATGATTGGTATCAGCCAAACTTTAAAATTTGGCCTGGTTGCATGCTTATGATCATGCTACTTCTGATTCTGACCATGTACTGAGAGAACAGTTTGAGTGAGAACGAATAAGAAATTATTTGTTAAATTGTGTATATATTGTCGTTCGTTTATGCGCTTGTTCATGGTTCCATTTGTTGTTGTAAAAACGTTCGTATATGCGGCATAATGCGTGCATGTTGGTTGTTGATTTGTCTTCCGCTCGTGTGCGTAGTTCCATTTATCATTGCAGCGGCGTCGCCTGTTCGCCTACGTACGCATAGTTTTATTTGCGTTTGAATTGTCTGCCCGTTGCTTTGGTACGTGGTTCGAATTGTGGTTTCATCTTCTTCGTATTTTGTGGTAGTCGCGGCTCGCCAAGCGGCCACCTACACACGAGTAGCAAACGTCTAGCAGTCAAGCTTATTTTTACGCGGGAACTTCGTTGCGTGTTATGCGCGGCTCAAGCTCGACAACTCACGGCATTAAAAAAATGTCACTTTTTTCTGCTTTACAGAGAACTATTTTTCCGCGTTCACGGCATATCGCGATAAATTTATTCGACGTGCCGTAACGTCTTTTTAATTCTGTGATTGTAGGTGCCATTGCGTGCATGTAAATACAATTTATGTACTTGGCACATTATATTCCAACTTGTTTGATATTCTTTGTTGTCTTTAATTTACCTGACAAAATAAGTCGGCGCAATCTCTTTTAAGAATAGCAAAATGAAACTTTTAAGGTACCTATTATCCGCAGTCAAAATGAACATTAGCGAAGAAAGGTTTTACGTAATGATATATTAAGGCAGGTTTAATGATGGAACTTCTAAAAAGTGTTTTCCAGAAGCAACTCAATTGAAACATTCGTTACAAAGTTCGTACAACTACAACCTTAGATATTGCTGCCGTGGCAGACGAGTTTTTCCCCATGATTAAAAGTAGCCGTTTATTTATTTCATTTAACTTTGACCGCACTGTGCTTTTTTTGCTTAGCTTTTGTCCATTGACGGTTCTTAATGTTTGATACAAATTCTCAAGACGTTCCTTAATTTTCGGTCTATATAAGAATTAGGTTTTCTGATTGATCTCATCTCAATCTTTGTTCCTGGTGATCTTTGAACTGCACACTGGTACATTGCGTCCGAGTGGTTGTTGAACGCGTGTGTAATTTCACTTCGACTTCGTGCAGCGCCGCTCCGAAGATTGCGAGGAAATTTCGAGGTTTGTGCAGAGATTGCAAAGAAATTTTGTACATGTTAGGGCCATGCATTTAATTTTGCTAGTAACCAGCTTTGTCATGAAATTGGTGGGGTGTCTAAGCAACACCATTCTGCACTTTCAAAATGTTTGAAGCATTGTTTAGCTAACGTGCTCATTTTACGTGCCATTACTTCGCATCCGCAAGGTTTGTTTGGTAAGGATAAGAGCTCCCGGAGTGCTTGTTTGACGCGATTGCGGCAAACACGGAGTCTTGAGGGCGCGGTATCCAAAATAGAATCCCGTCATAGGTGAGGGAGGTCATGTCACTCGTGGTAACAGAGGGCATAGATGCCGGCTGCATGCATTCTTAGCGCTAATGGCAGGCCCGTGTCACAATCGCTCATTGTGGTTAATCAAGTAGCAAACCAACCCTTGCCCCACCAACTTTGTATCATTCGTTATGGTAAGTAACGTAACAAGCAGATCTGACGTACAAACAGGAGTGACGTAACAAACACTCAGCCAATCGAGACACTAGGACGAAGTTTGAAATATCCCTCGGATTTTTTTTTAAATCTTGGAGCGCGAGTGCATGATACTATATTTCTAATCTTTTTACCAAGTTTTTTTTCCTTATCCGGAATTCCCTTGCATATCCAGTGCATCAAGTCAATTCTTTATTTATTTAGCATTGTTGGCCCGAGACTGGCAAATGAGGCTCTGCATCAGGCTTTTTAGTAATCTATCATGGTAATTAGAGTAAGAAAAATCGTTGATTCGTAGTTTATCAATGGTATGTTTTGCCGCTCCTAAAGATGCCTCACGGCCGGCATGGTTGTACAGTTAATAACGGCCGTACTTCGGAATAGTAGCGTTCTCTCCGCTAGTATGAAGCTCGACTCAGCAATGCCGTACCGCTGTTGCTGTGAACTGAGACCATCATGCTTCCGAAAGACAATTATTACAGTCTTGTTGCTTCTCGTGTTATCTCACGGCCGTCGCTGTACGTAGTGCTGGTATTGGTGGTACAGAAATGCAGCTAAGTCCACGTGTTCTTCCATTGTAGATTTTAGATGTTTTTATACAAGAGTCGTATTATGAATGACGCCAAGTTTTTTTGCTGGGCCGTTACTTCTCGAAACAGCCAGCACGTGGCTGCAGCCGTCACCCAAACGCACAATTCTTCAAATTGAGCTCGTGTGGCGACGACCTAAGAGCAACCTGTGACGTGAATTTTTTTGTGGTTATATACACTTCCGCCGCACAAACTTGAAGACTGTCTATGAGACTCTGCGTCCTGCGTCTGAGTTTTGGGATTTACTTCGCTCTGCCCTCGGCCTTCGAATAAATTGATGCACTTACTTTCAAACTGCATTTCATACGCGAGTATGAGGAGCTCTGGTCTATGTGAATTCTTAAGTTATTTACAAAATCTACCACGTCTGGAACAATTTCATGAAATGTTACCTTATCACAATGTTTTAATTTATAGGATTGACGAAAGAAGCTGATCCTTATTTTCAGTCTTAGGTTGTTGCTAGGATCTTAGAAATACCAAAGCTCAAGGCCAACGATCACTCCTGAGATTTGAATACTCTTTGTACATGATGGTGGCGTGAAATTATACGTTCATCTGGCAGCCGCCTGCCGCTGCTCTCAAACGAAGTTTATTGCAACATGTTGCTGTTTGCGCCCAAGTTATTGTTTTGATTCAATTTGAAATTATCTTCAGTGTGGATGTTTAACATATTTTGTGTTCATACAGCAAGATATCATTATCGCCCATGTAAAAGGACTCAGTATGTTTCTTTGTTTTCAAACCTGTATCAGGATAAGCATAGGTTCAAGAAATGCATAAAATTTGTTAACTTGGTGCCTCTAGTTAGTCTAGTAAGTGTTAGCAGAGACTTGGACTGTTTGGAAAACCACAAAAATAATGTCACGTTTATTTGGGATTTGACTCTCTGCATCATTGGATATATTTGTATTAATGGAGTTTGCACTTTATCTGCCTCCTCATGGTATTGAAAATTACCTCTTTATTGCTGACCGATACATAGTAATAAACCTTTAAATTTTTTAGAATCATTTAGTTTGATGTTTTGTAAATTATTTTATATCATCTAGTATTTCCTGGTCTAGATCGTGAACTGAATAGAATTAATTCGCTCCTGAATAACTAACACACTTCTCACAACAAGCATGTACAGTGTTAACTCACGATTGCTGTGATTATCAAGTTGTCTTCCTCGTTGTTTCTCCATTTTTATGTTGTGATTTGAGTCTCTTACAAGATCATTTGAGCTGAAGCCTTCTATACGTGAAGCAGAACTAATTATCAGGTCGTCGAGTCTGAAACGAAGCGAACATGCGCGTCGGAATTTTCGAGTTCACGTATATTTTTCATTAATTGTTCATGAAGTTTTGTTATATTACCGGAACCAACCCGTCATTGCGAACTCGTCTGTAATGCACAAAGTAAATTAATTATAAGCTAGTTAAATCGTCTCTGAATTATCCTTGCAAGAAGACGAGCTGAAGAAGAAAAGAAGTTTTCCTCGAACTGAGAGACTGCCAGCTGCTGTCGGGAGTGTAAACAAGCGCCGAGACTCCCGTGCCTTACGGTCTGCTTTTTGATCGATGAAGTTCCTCTCTAAACACTAGTGATACTTAAATCTCTTTTGTGACAACTGATATTAATTATTCCTGAACTTGCAACGTCGATAACTCTAAAAAAAGCTATTAGTTCATAGAGGCGTTTATCTTTCACGTAACGAAAGTCCCCAGCGCAATACTATTTATATATTTGTGATATTAATTCATTTTATCAAGTTATATATTAAATATAGATACTGTAGGTATCTCCCACTAGCGAAGAAAGCTAGTTAGCATTATTCACTGGTATAATGAAGATATCATTATATAAGGAACATTATACACTGGTATAATGAAGATATCATTATATAAGGAGGCCCTTGCGTCGAATGCGTCTCGCTCGTTGGCAGCGCGCAACAGAAAAGCGACTGTTCTTTGGTCACGGTGGGAATTCGCACGTCGTGAGCACGGCCGACTAACTTTCTCGACATATTGATGCCCTCATGCAGTCTCGCTAAACAGAGACGGGCCACGATAGAAATTGGCTAGTTTTATTGCCACGCTTAGTTCTTTTACTTGCGAGTAATGTAAGTATAGTAATAAAGTATACTTGTGAAGTTCTACTCGTAGAGGTTGATCACAACTCGTACGAATTACTACGTAATGCTACATACAAGTTCAAATTTTGTTAATTGTTGAGTTAGACCTCAAAAATCACTTATATAAACTAACTATATTAACTAATATATTATATTATATTATATTAAAAACTATATATTAACTAATATATTTTGTTCACCACTATGCAAATACACATAATAACTCGCTCATTTCAATTTTTGCATCTGATTGCCTTCTTTTTAGTATGAAACCTGATCGATCCTTGCGCGACATTTATATTTCAAGCATCCGCAAGATTGCCATTATATTTTCAAGTACCGCTCATTGCGTTAGTTTTTTTCTTGCGTTTGCATGCCCTGATCTGCATGCCGCACCGCAGCCTCGGAATGATTTTAATGTTTGCACGGCCACTGGCAAGATGCATGCGCTGCTTGCACCGCTGCCAAACAAACATCGCAGGAGCTCTGCCCAGCAACTCCTGATTTGAACGCGGCAATTGGCCAGCAGCTAATGCGAGATCTCGTACATCGAATGCAGTATTCTTTGCATTCTTCTTATTTTTCTTCTTTGCATATTCTTTCATATTATCATTTTAATGTACCGTATCAAAAGATTCAATACGAAGTTATATCAACCACGAGCATTCTTTCATAATTGCACTAAGCAATAAGAAGGAATGCAATAAATGATCTTATTATTGCAATAATTTCTTATTGCAATAATAAGCAATATTAATTGCAATAAGCAATTAATTTAGGTCGATAGTCTATACCGGTACCCGAATACGTGAAAATATTATAATCACTTTTTGTCACAAAACCACTTCGATCGCTTTATAGTATACGAATGTTTCTGCTTTAGCTACACGTCACCTAAGCTGAGTATGTCGAACTCGAGAGTCCGAGTTGGTGATGAAAATTTGATTGTCCAACAAATGTCCTGTAAACTTTGCCAACCAAATTCTTTAATTTCAATGACAAAATACTATAAGAACTTGTAAGGATTGCAAGCAATTAATTTGTAACTTTAGACTATGAATTATGATTGGCCGTGAAATTTTTGTCCATATAATTCGCCTAATTAGTCGTCGTACTGAATTGAGAAGGCATTACCTCGCTGGTAATGAAGTTCTTTTACGCGTCATCGATTTTATATATTTTTGCTCCATTTCAGTTTTTTGTCGCAGGTTGCAATTTCCCGAAAGTTGCCAAGGACCAGGCGGACTCGCTAGGTGTGTTTGGCTGGATCAAGAACACCAAGACAGGCTCGATCCTCGGGCGTATACAGGGCACCGAACCTGCCTGCGCCCAAATGTGAGCCACGCGTCCTTGTTGGTTTCTGCTTCAGTTGATGCAATTTTTTTTACTAAAAATTTAGTAGTGCTCACTATATCTAGTCCGACGTCATACGCACCATGGTTGAACTGTATAAGGTTGACCCACGAGGATTTCCGTCTTTCAGTTCAGCTTTCTTGTTACGTCACTGAGATCGAGAAACGTAAACAATTCCGTTATTCTCATGACGGATTGCGGGATTGGTTGACTGGTTTCATCGCATTTCGGTGATAGGTTAATGCCCGTGACGTCACAAGCGAACAACAAACTACATCCGCAAAAATGAGCTTCTCATGGGTCCACCTTATACTCGCACAGTATGGTATTAGGTTGCTAACGATGCAAGTACTCGATTAGCACTAGCACTCATCGCCGTGATCACTAAGGGTAGCCGCTATTTTTAATACTGCATAATTTTAGTTTATGCTATAAATTCTATGCATGAGTGACTTGAATTTGCTTTAAAATGAGTATCGCTCGCATAATTTGGTCCTTTCCATTAATTTCTTCAATTAAATGCAGTTAGCAGCAATTCATTAAAAGAGAGTATTCAGCAACAAAAATAAGTAGATTAATTTCAACGCATTAAAGATATATATAAATTATAATGCTATCGTCGAGAAACAACACACAGGGGTACGATTCGGTCATTTCACAAAATTTGAATTCACTTTTCTCAAATTGCTAACGTTCCTTAGTTTTTCCTTTTATATGGAAATCTTAACGAACATTCTCATCTCCCTTCAATAAAATACATTATTATCTTACATTGCCCTTAACTTCCGCTTCATGAAAATGTCCTGCTTGCGAAAGTACAGTACATCTCATCTCCATTCCACGAAAATGCCCTGCAAACGAATTCTCCTCGCATACTCCCTTCATGAAAATGCCTTGCCATCGAATGCTCCCTACATCCACCGACCATGGAAATTCACTTTTAACGAACGATTCCATTTCTACAGGGAGCGGTGGCTGAGTGAGGAAGGCTCCCCAGGATCCATGATAGAGCGATGTGACATCACCAACAAGAAAAAGATCGTCAGGCCCGACTATCAAAAATTTAAAATTGCCTTCTGACTCCATCAATTCATCTACTTCATTACCTTAGGGATTTATAAGGCTCTGTGTTTGTTTGCTTGGCACGGTTTAAATGGCAAGTGATCATCTATAATATAATATGTTAAAAATAACCAATTTATATTAGAGTTTCTTAGTTACTTGTGACTTTTCATGGTTCAAAGTCGAGGATTGCTCGATAATCTTGTATTACTTAACACTCGTATGATGCATTCGACTTCATTTGCGTGCTCGGATTGTTATTGCTATTCAATCCTCGAGAAAAGTTTAGATTATTCTAGCGATGGTCACTACGTTACCTACTTATAGTCCTCATTTACCGTAGTCGAGGTACGTAGAACCAGAGAAATGCTTCCTGCATAACTTCTGCAATACGCTGCGATAAATTTGTAAGCAGTTTATTTTTACCTACCAACATGCCATATTATTGTGCATTATTCCTTTTAACTAGGAATTCAGTCAGCTGCGAAATGACATTATACACGAATGGACCAGGAATTAACTGTAATTCTAAACCAGTCTTTTAATGATTTGGCTATCTCATACCACCAAGTTTTAAAGTAAAATAAAAAAAGTATTTATTGTTTTCATCAATCATTCTGACACTCGCTGACAAATTCCCGATATATAATCAAAATTGGTTGCAAATTAAAAGCTGGTAAATGAGAATGCTTGCAATATGTCCGGGTAGATTTTAGTTGAATAAAATATTAATTTTTTTATTTTTTAACAATTATACCATAATATATTTTGGTTAATTCAGTTTTTAGGTGGGAAATCAAGAACAACATGTCTATACAAAATTTTTATGTATATCGTACGCACATTCGAAAACTGCTCACAAACCTGAATTGGCTCCTTCAATATCATTGATATATTTTTATAGGCAGACTTGCCTACAATAGTCAAAGATACACTGAGGTGAATAGGATGTAAAATGAGATCAGCGAGCAGTAAATGAACGCCGAACTAGAGATCACGCAGCTCTTCTGATGAAGTGCAACAACGTCATGTAACGGCCTCCTCCATGGCAGCATTAGGACGAAAAAATGGGCCACCGTGCCATTGAGAAAGCTCCTCAGTTGACAGAAAACTTAATAGTTGATAAGCAACACATCTATATACTATATGTTCGCGAAAAAAAAAATCAGATTAGTAAAGCTTTGCTAATATCGACAAACATTCCCGGAAAGCAACGTGAGATTGGTAGCAGCCCCAATCTCAGATGAGAAACGAATACAAAGCGATTGGTACAGAGTCAAATCTGCGGAACAGCGCTAACATCTGATGAATTAATGCAGCAGTGTGGATGGAAACTTCGTTTCCGTACAAGCCAGATGCGCGACACGTGAATACAAGTTTATATACGTGATGGTTGGCAGTCCTGGCTACGATGTGAGGTACGAGAAGCTACCGTAGATTAATAGCGGTTAGCGGTTTCAGCGTTTATTAGGCCGTAGGCCTGTCGCCGATTCTTAACATCGCAGAACATTCGCAGCATTTTGCTGTCTCGAATTCGCAACTCACTGCTACAATTCTGTTGTGCTTAACCGCCCGGCCTCCTCGCCGATTTTGGCCAGAAACTGGCGCACAGAGCTGGGATCGAACCCGCGCCTCTCTACGCCAATTTTAGTACTCTGAACTTTAACCACTGGGCATTAAGTCTTCTTTATGATTCCATAATAATAATCAATAACGATTGAGTGAATGCAAAACAGCCAAATAACCATCCAAAACTAAACTAGTCGCAAAAGGAAGTATTTTGGAACAGAGAGGCATTTGAAAAATTTCTAGATGGGCGGGCGGAGGCAGAAAAAAAAGTATTTGGGAATGCCACCGACGCGGAGCCAGCACGTACAAAAAGGTCTAAGAAACTTCGTGGTGCGCCTTGAAATGGTTCATTGTAAAAATGAGTACTACTAATCAAGCTAAATGAAACTATACGTCTTTCGTATTCAGAGCACAAAGTACAAACTAAATTGATATCTAACTCCTCCATTCCCAACTTAAAGGAGGGAGCCAGAATTTTACTATCATAACATCAAGATGTGTTTTGGGTTTGCTCAAGTCGACAAAAGTACACCCCATTTTACGCGTGACATACGGGGCGCTTCGACAGTATAATAGTTCCCTGATCGTGTTCGCAGATGGGGACTGAGATTCAGTGAAGAAAAGATCAAAGGTGCATATCTGGTTTCTAGGCATCAAGTTTTGAGTGTTTTTATCACCATATGCGAGTCGGTAAGATGGCGAGGCAAAGTGCGCGAATGGTGACGACCCAAGGACTCGCGTAAAAAGCTCCTCATTCCAGTAATGCGTAAAATCGAGCGGAGCAAAAATCGTTTTATTTTATACAAAAATAATCAACTATGATTGTTCCAACAATAGGGCTCAGTAGCAGTAAATACGATACCGCGTAAGATATTATAATAAATATGACCTTACAAGTTATTCAGTTGAGTTTAATTTTTTACTTATATACAGGGAAGGTCAGTGAAGCTTTTTAGTGAGCAAAAATCTGAAAAATAGAAATCACGTCACGGTACGAATCAAGCTTTTCTAATGCATGGCTCCTACTGCCTTCCTGCAGCGCTTACAGGTTCAGGATCACAGAGCAACTTGTGACAAACAAGACACCTTGTTCCTGGAGTGTCGCTTGGAAGGTGAACTTGCTGCTCCACTGTATACACTCGAGGGAAGAACACTATGATGATAGTTCGTCTACAAGCATTAAGGCGGCAGACAGTAAGACCGAAAGTCAGAAACAAACATGGTGAATAATTTTTAGCGCATTTTCTCATTTATGAAAAAATTGCACTATTGTGCTGGCCATGTCCGTCTGTCTGTCCGTCCGTGACTTCATGTTTTCGTCGACGAGAAAATGCGCTCTCTGTCACTCACTGCAGTGAGTACTGAGTTATATTTTTAATAATTTCAGCTGTCGCAATCACAGGCTTGATTCACTGCAATTACAATTGCTAATGACTAGTATAAATACCTAATTCTACACTAGATATTTAATTGAAAGCAAAGGAGTAAGTCAGCATTTTTTTGCTACAAATTTTTAAAGAATTTTAACTTTTAAATTAACACAATTTGTTAAAGTTTGTGTGTGTGCGTTTTAAGCCCGGCATCGCAAATACATGAGAGATGTTCGGGTGCGTATCCAGGATACTTATCGTGTCGCGACCTGGAAATGTAGGTATTATTTGAGGGAGAATAGTAAGGTATTGCATAACTGGAACTTTCTTAACGGGAGCCCAAACTAGATTTCTGTGATTCATTAATGTGTGAAGTGCGAGTATAAAAAGACACCTTTAATTAACATTGATTAATTTTATAGTTGTTAACGGGATTCAGAATAAAGGCCTTTTAATATTGCAGGGATCCCGGACGCCCGGGGTGACGTATTCATTGAAAAGTAAGGCGAATTAGATTAAATCTCATATGATGAAGATCACAACAGCGTGATCATGTTTCGAATCAATATTGCGATCATTGATAATTTTAAATTGCACTTCAACCAAATTAATTATTGTATTAAGATGAGTCGTCCTCACGTGTTGGGCGAACGTCATATAACCTAACCAGACAGAACGTTGCCAAAAGAACATCTTGTGAATAACCATAACTAGGAAACTATCCTTGGCATAAAGACCTAAATAAACAATTATTGCCGTCATTAATGCACGACCATCTCGCCAACCAATGCAGAGGTAATAAAATGCCAACCGACTACCCCAAAAGTGCGCTTAGCAAGCCATTCCTTCTTTAACAGGCAGTCCCTTCTCGGCCGCGAAATCACTTAGCAGACGACGCGAGCATGGCCTGGCTCACTTTACTCATATTAGGCCGCTTGATGGCGGTGCAGATGTAGTCCGAGGCCTGCACCAGCTTGTGTAGGTCCACGCCCGTGTCGATACTCAGGCCGTGCAGCAAGTAGACCACGTCCTCCGTGGCCACGTTACCTGACGCGCCTCGAGCGTACGGACAGCCGCCGAGACCGCCCACCGACGCGTCAACCACGCTCACGCCAGCCTGGGCAACAAAGAGCATTACAGAATTTAGATGAATTTATGCTGGATTGATAAATTACCACACCGATTCAAAGGACTGTAATATTAGCACATCGTAATATTATCGCACCGATTTAAAGGATTGACGAATTATCACACCGATTTAAAGAACTGTAATATTATCACACCGTTTATCAAACTAGATAATGTGCGCTGGTATCACTGAATGTTATGATCTCGGAAGATGATCACTAATAAAGAGCGTAGTAAATCACACATTAGCACAAACTAACAGAGATTATGGAGACCCAACGAAGAAAGCGATATTAATTCATAGTTGTACAAGGCATTAATAAGTATTTATGACTAAAAAGAAATCACAGAATCTAGTGAATTAAAAACCTATAAGATAAGACACAAGCTGGTTGGCCAGGCATTGCCCGGGATAGATTAGACCAGCAATTTGATATTCCCCTTCTTTCGTTGACCGTCATCTCCGACCCAGTAAATAATTTTGAAGCTGAAATACGTCATTAAAAGAAAGATCTGTTCAAGTTCACATTTAACAGGGAACATCAATTATAGACCCAGTGACGTATTGAGGCTGACCTGAACGGCAGTGAGGCTGACCTGCACGACAGTGAGGCTGACCTGCACGACAGTGAGGCTCACCTGCACGACAGTGAGGCTCACCTGCACGACAGTGAGGCTCACCTGCACGACAGTGAGGCTCACCTGCACGACAGTGAGGCTTACTTGCACGACAGTGAGGCTTACTTGCACGACGATGAGGCTGACCGGCACGACAGTGAGGCTGACCTGCACGACAGTGAGGCTGACCTGCACGACAGTGAGGCTGACCTGTACGACAGTGAGGCTGACCTGCTGACCTGTACGACAGTGAGGCTGACCTGTAAGGCCGTGAGGATGTTAGGAAGAGCCTGGCCGTATGTGTCGTGGCAGTGCACGGCGACGGCGGTGACGGGCAGTACCGTGAGCACCTCGCGCAGCACCGCTGCCCACGACCCCGGCGTGCCCACGCCGATGGTGTCACCCAGGGACACCTCGTAGCAGCCCAGCTCATACAGCGCCAGCGACACCTGCCGAGACAAGGGCGACTCATCAACTGGACTCGCGGGTAGACGAAGCCCGTCGCATCAAGAATTAAGTCGTCACATTAGCAATGGGTCCCACAGTTAATATATGTGCTGCGGCAGAGTTTGAATCAGCAGAAGTATCCAGTCAATGAACGAGCAACATGAGAGTGTACAACCCTGACATAAAAACGTTCACATAAAATACACAGCCCCTACTACTGGCTAGGTACATCACTTAAATCTATTTATTTATTGAGGAAAAAAGTGGTTACCCCAAAGGCTCGAGGAAAAGCTCCACATTGGAGCTTCACAATAGATCTAATACAACTTTTTAAAAAAATTAGTTTTCCAGAATTGATACTACAACTTGATAGCCGTGAAGTGCACACCTGAGCCACAGCTTTGGGATCAATAGGCCCCTCGTAGGGGCAGCCACACACGCAGGAGACGTAGCCGCGCATGCGCACTCCTGCCTCCTTGGCTGCTGTTGCAACTGCTGCGAACCTGAAAATTATCAACGAAATTTAATCACACTTTGCCATGGTTAAAATAGTAGATTTTGTGATCATATTCCTGAACAAGCTTCTAATAACTATTAATAAATAACTAAACCATATTAATAGAGCCTTAGCGGTAAATCCAGAGTATATATTTCAATTTGTTAAGCACAAATAATGGAATATAACCTTTAAATCACTTGCTGGTTGGTTAGTTTTAGTTTAGTCACACAGTTTAGTACTAGTTAGATATTTTATGGCATTTTGTAAATAGCTCTATGAAACCATTAGGTAAAAACCATCAGATGGGATTTAAAGCATAAGAGGTTTCAAGTTTATATAGCGACAAAATGGAGGAATAATATTGAACCAGAAAAAAAAGTACAGTAGGAGACTGTACTTATTTCCATCAACTTTAGTATACATCAAATAACTAGTATGCTTTGTAAATTAATAAACTTTCACAATTAAGGTTTAATCAGAATGAAATCTAATTGCTAGAAAAGGAAGAACGTCACTGTTGAAAATACAGAGATAATAATTTTAGACATGAACTAAATAGTAAATAATGCTGACCTCTCAAGTGATTCCTGAATGCTGCAGTTGATATTTTTCTTGCTGAAAGATTCTGAAGCAGCTCCAAAAATAGCAACCTCTGTTGCCCCAGAAGCAATCTGAAAATATGGAGAAACTTGTGAAATTAATTTTAAAAGATGAGCAAACCCCTCTTCTGATGATTTATTGAACTCATGATAAGAACTGCAGCCTAATTAGATAACTGAGAGCAGAAGGTAAGTATATAGGAGCTTGTATATTTGCACAATAACAGTGTAGGATCTTATGCAAATATTATTTTTTATAAGGTTAACTTACAGCTGCATTAAAACCTTTCAAATTTGGGGTGAGGACGCTGTATGTCACACCAGGAGACCTGCTTATGCTTGCCATGACTTCTGCATGATCTGCCATCTGTGGAACCCATTTGCCTGAGACAAAGCTGCAAAAGTTAAGAATATTTTTATTAGGTTATTTATAAACAATTGTAAATTCCTCATTTTTTTCCATTATTTTGAGCATTATTGCCTACAAGCACCTAAAGAATAAAATAAACATAAGTAAGTACAGACAAACTACATGGTATTAAAGAACAATGAAGTTAAAAATTTCTGCTTAAATGTAGCATATCATACAAAAAACATATTAGATAATTGTAAAATGAGACATTCATCTAACTTTTAATGAGAATATAATGCAATAATTATATATATAAGATATAAAAGCAAGATACCTTGTAGCTTCAATAGTTTTGAGCCCAGCTTCAGCTAGTCTATGGATGAGCTCCACCTTCACTGCCGTGGGGACAAGAGTCGGCTCATTCTGTAAACCATCTCTGGGCCCCACCTCGACCAGCCTCACACTGCTCGGCAGTGACGAGAGGCTGCTGAATGTTTGTAGCAGATTTACTTGAGTGCCAGTTTGGCATAGGAGTGGTCTTGATGTGCTGCACTCTATCTGAAATATATAAGAAATACAGGGACTTGCAAGCCAAGGTTAAGCAGACATACAAAATTTTTGCAATAAAAAATGAAATGTATGGCATTCCACCTAACTGATGACTCTATAATGAGTAAAAAAACTAAAAAGTTAAAACACAAACAGTATTTAATTATTTAGAATTGGTTTTCATGCTTTGATCATTACCTACATAATAAGAAGCATGTTACAGCATGTAACATGCAAGAAATATGCAAAATAGAACCAACTTAGAAGTATTTCACGAGTTAAAAAATTTCATTTGAAATCAAAATGAATGAGAGAAAATTATCAGTCAAATGATAGGTGCAAAAAAAAAAAAAAAAACTTCATCAGGAAGATCAATGGTTTTGTTGGCATTTACAGCAACAGAAAATAAACACCCAAGTTTAGAGCAGTTTGAAATATTTCTGAACATTAGGAGCACTACTTATCTAATTCAAGTTAATTTTTTATCCACACCACACAAAACAATCTATATATTTGAACAGGATAAATTTATCATGTGACTTTGAAGAAAACTGACATAGGTAAATTATAGGTATAACTGAAGGAGTTAAGACATCAATCACAATTTTTGCAAGGTATTAAAAACAGTAGTTTTGAATTCTTTTTCACTATAGAACGCTTTATTGCAGCAAGGAGTTGAACTCACCTCAACATAATCATGCAATGTATTCCACTAAAGTAAGACATGAAAGTAGAAAAAATTTACACTATGATTTCTAACCACAAAAATTGCAATCACAATATGAAGAAGCATGAGGAGATATTTCATATTATTTACATTTTTGAAAACTTTAATTTTGTTATGCATATCAAAGACATGATAGTTATAATGACAATCTTTTTATAACAATACTGTCAAAATAGAGCCTGTTCCAGGTGCTCATCTAAAAGTTAAAAAAAATTATATTCAGTGTAGAAAATGGGTTATATAGTCAGATGAGGTAAGACAGGACCAAAATCACTAACAAGCCTGTAGCATCTATAACATGAATAATTAAAAAACCCTAAACCTATCACAAGGTGTATTTATTCTCAGCTACAACTTAGACATTTTGCATCCAACATAGTTTTCTGTACAGATTGAAAAGAGTGTGCTGGTCCCATCTTACCCCACTGGGGTAAGATGGGACCACGATGGGGTAAGACAGGACCAACAGGTAGGTAATTCTTATGTTACAAAGTTTTTAATAAAAGTACAAATCCTATATTCAATATTATCCATCTAGAAACACATTATTTGATTGAACAACTACTTGTTACTGTTTTGTGTGGCGGGAAGTCAACTCTAATATCAGTCACATTGTGGTTTTTGTCACGAGAAAACTTTGTTAAGCATAGTAATGGTGGGTTGGCTTTGGTTCATTGTAGAGCACTGCTAAATGCTTCATGTATATTCCATTAGTGTCATAATGTCATTGTCTGAAAAATTTATCAAATTGGTAATAAAACCAATGCATAATATATTGAGTCTCAGACATCATATGTTTTCTTGCTAACTGCATTTGTGGTGCACTTCTTCAAACATAGCTCATGTCCTCTCACTGAGTTGTGATCATAATTATTTTTCATGTTTCACACAACTTTTCTCCCAGCCAATGTTGCACATAGTTCTGCAGCTCACTAATGGGAAGAGACATCCATATTTTCTCCATCCTTTTGATGCAATTTAAAATAGGTAGTGCACTAAATTTCTCTAATTAAAATGGCTAACAAGTTATAATGAAGTTTGAGCAAAAGATAAAAATTTCAACCAAAATACTCCATGTACTGCAAAATAATGTATTCATTTAAAAACTATTTTTGATAAACTGTAGGGTAAGAGAGGACCATTTGTAGGGTAAGAGAGGACCATTTGTGGGGTAAGATAGGACCACTTGTGTGGTAAACAGGATCATTTAGTTGTCCCCTCTTACCTCATGTCCGGTCCTTTTTTACCCCATTTTAAAATACATGTCAGGCACTGATGGTAGAAGGTAGGAATGCCTAGTAGGTATGTCTCAGATGTTGCTTATTACTTGAGGTTACCTGCCTACATCCACAAACCTGGCAAAAAAATTTTTTGTCATTAGAGAGAGCTTATTTCCCAAACAAGGTTAACTATTTTGTGAGCCTTCTTTACATAGGTTTTCTTTAAAAATTAGCCAGAAATTCATTATTTGCAGAAGAGGGTTGAAACAAACACTGAAATGACATGCAATGATTGCTCTAACATATTCTTTTATCAAATTGGATTCAGTGCAATTAAAATGCATGCCAAGGGCTGGTCCTTTCTTACCCCTTGAAGCCTGTGATCCTGTCTTACCCCATTTGACTATAAGTTAATTATCAATTCATACATAGGATTAAAAAACATTGCCATTTAAAAATTTTAGTAGGGCACAAAAAATCTATCATCAGCTAGCAATTTCACAGCATACTTGTAATTTGTGAATTTTAAGTATGCCATAACTTAGGAGTTAGTGTGTCAGTATGTTATCATCCTCATGTTATCAGGGATATCTTAGTAAGTGTAATTACATTTTATCTGCTTGTGCGGAAAATGGATTTTGCCACAATTGACAAAGAGGACATTCATTAGGATGGTATTTATGCAATCATCAATTTGACTTTGAAGTAGAAACATATTTTTTTCGAGCAATGATTGGCAACCTGATAATGTGATATGAAATTTCAAAGGTTACTTAACAATGCTAGTTTAAAATGCAAATTATGCAATTCCATTGTAACTTGATTTCAAGTTGATTGTACAGCATAACCTGCTGCCCTGCAAGGTAAATTTGCTGTTACTGGATAATTTTAGAATCATGTATTGGTAATTTCACTGAACTCTGATGCTATAAAGTCAGGGCAAATAATTTTTTTGTACATGCTTGTTTGAATTCTAATGGCACAATATTTTAGCTATAAGCCAATTTAGATTGAAATTTGAAATTAACTAGTAATCCTACCAGGCTACCAGTATTATCAAGTATGAATCTAGAAAGTATTTCTCTGCCTTGTTATTTTAACCAGCTCCAAGTTCAAAGAGAATATAATAAAGCCTACTTTTGAGTTTTGCCAATCATTCACACACAATCAATATGGCTAACTTAACTATCAACTCAACAATTTGTGACTTGTGAGACAAGGTGAAGGTGCCCGAGGTGGACTAAATTTTAGGACAATTTCCTTATAATTTGACTATTAAAATGCAGTCACTGAGCGTCTAAGCCATATACATCTTGTCACATTATGATGAGATAAATCATAAGTTAAAGATGTGTTGAGAATGACTCACGAGTTGAAGCCTGAAGGTAAACACATCTTCAGTTCAAGTTCTTGTCTTATGTTTTTGAGCCTGTTTTAGTGTTTCGAATTTCGATTGATATTTTCACACGAAAATCTAATGCATATTAAATTTTTTATTCAAGCTAAAATAATATATAATGACACACTTACAGGGAAGGATCCACATCTTCGGCAGAGACCACTAATAACATAGGAAATTTTTTGCCGACAGGCCGTAGCAACAGATGCCATGTCGCCGAGCCGAGTTCTGTTTGTTGACTGCTCATCGCGCCGGCACTCAGCTGTTGGCATACCATCATGTTGCAAGCATGTACCCGTGGATTTTCTTTCATTGCTGCAAAATGAATATAAATAATACATCTGATAAGATTATCATTACCATGGTTGAACATTACATTCTTTAAAAAGTCTAGAATAAAATTTTTTTCAATCGTTTTGTCATTTAGAGAATAATAATATTAAACGAGTCACAGCTACAGATTTTTTATATTGTTTGATCATGCACATGCTCACTTTTAATTAAAGCACAAAAATCACTTTGTTTATTAAATTTTGATCGAGCGAGGCAGTTTTATTGCAAACTCTATATCCGATTTACAAAATAACTTGTCATTTTAATTCATAATTTGACTCGAGTTTTTTTTAAATACGTTTAAAATTAGATCGAATTTTAGCGAAAGCCTCAATTGAGTTTAAGGCATATTTAGTAATAATTAGCTAAAAATATCAACAAATGTACACACTGACCGGTATTTTCGTTAGTTATTTACCCATAATATAGCATAAAACATCGGGCACATTGTCCTGTTAGAATCAGAACGTGATCAATAAAAACTTCTTGAAAAGTTACCTGGCATTCCAGAACGACCTTCAAATGCGCAAGCGAAATAGACAGGAAAATTGATGCATGGCCATCGTATTATATACATCCATCTTATTTACAAGGTTTCATATGTAGTATAAGAGTCCTATGACATCTGCTCGATCGCCGCAGTTAGCGAACTGAAAATTATTTTATAGCTACTTCTCCCAAATTAAAAAAGTTTTGGGTCATTCAACTGAACAATGTAACTCTTATGTTTGTTTAATGAAAGTGAAATCACTTGAAAGATGACTGTGCGTTGGAACCTTTAATGATCCGTTGAAAATTTTGAAAACAATTTACCAAATCATTACAATTCGCAAACACAAGCACTACGTACCTTTTTATTGAAAAATGTTTGTATAACTTGCGCATATTTGAAAAATTTGTCGGATATAGAAGTGACTTATAATATTGAACTTAACAACAATGTAAAATAACAGGGCACAGCCAATTTTCTTTTTCTATGGTGACAAGGCGAATGTTGGCTCGACAAAGTCTGGCGAACAACAGACTCTACCAGTTAACGGACCCACGAATATACTAAAAAAGAAAAGGTCGTACGTCGCCCGAACCACCAAGGCGGTGAAGGGCTGAGAAGGACGCCGTGTTTTTACCAGCAGGCAAGGCCGTTTACCTTCAAGTTTATCTTCACTATTGCTTGGATACAAAAGTATTAATAGACTGAAGACATTGAAATAAACAAAATAACTAAATAAAACCGTTCAAGAATTTATACAGCTCTAACATACAAAAATGATACAATGAATGAAATAAAAATAATATGCGTTTTAAAAAAATTACTTTTTAAAGACAACACTTCTAAAGAATCCAGTGTCTCCGATGTTACACACGTACAATGAATTTCATATTTTATTATCAAATATTACAAAAATTAATTTTTAAATTTTATTCTTAAAATTAAAAAAACTAAAATTTTTCGAAATTATTTATTCTGTCAATTGATTCATGCATTGCCTCCGACTTTACGCAAGTGTGGAGAATTTCAGACCGATTGGACAGGAAGAAGTGTGTTGATATCGATTATAAGATTTGTTGAATACAAAATTATTTTATCAAATTTTTTAAAATAAAAAATAACTTTTCTAAAATGTTAAAAATTATATATTCTGTCAATTGTTTCATGCATTGTCTCCAACTTTACGCAAGTGCGTAAAATCTCATATCGACGGGAAAGGTATGTTAAATATTGATTATAAGATTTGTAGCAGACAGACAAACAAACAAACAATAAGAAGTGAAGTTAAAGAGAAGAGTTTTAATAAAATAAACAACGATCGATACATCTTAGCTGATTCAAGAAAAATTTCAGTGAAACACCACTCGCTTTATCCTGTTAATTTTACGAACAACGTAAAAGGATGAATTAAAAGTCTAGAAAATGCTTGTTTGAAAATTTATTATGTATATTCATGAATTAATTAATGCATTCAGGAACAATTATCACCAATCCATTCAGCTCTTGAATGAGGTTATACCTAACACACGTTGGCTCACCGCGAGGTCGCACAAGAATAATTGAAATTCAATTTAATTTTGTTCGATCATTATTCCTTCATCGGCTTAATCCTTTGTTTCTTCGTTGAAAATTCACGACTGGATCAGGTTTTGGTATTTAACTCCATTAATCATTCAGACAGATCTTTTTGAGAGACAGTAATCTCTTCACACAGCAAGTAACTAAAAAAATATTGGTGACGCTTACAAATTTATCAACTGATCGCTGATTGAAACATGAAAAAGAGCGTTGAATTAACAAATACTAGATACGTTGACGTCCTGATAAATCTTCCAAGTACGATGCTTTTTTCAGTAGGTTAAACTTCTATCTATGGAGTCCATCCCCTGCGCACTTTGGTTTTCTGTAGCAGAGATTCCACGATAAAGCTGATGGCGGACGCGGCTAGGCCTAGAATGAGAAGAATAAAGAGGCCTTGTAAGTGGTGTAGGTTCAGGGCTTCAGGACTGCTGCTCGGCGCTTCCAAGTCCAGGGGTGAGGCGGACGAAGCACCGGGTGCCTGGACGCTCATGTCGTATGCCTGCTTGTGCTGAGTCTCCAGGCGTACAAGCGCGATGTGATCCTGGAGCCATTTTTCGTATAGTCCAGCCTAAAATGCAATAATACTTCCGTAGTTGAGCTTGCTAAAAATTACTGCATCAAAACTCTTAGCTAAATCATGTCATGCACACCCGCATAGCATAATGGTTGAAGTAATTACTTAATGCGCAATTAATTCAATTAAGGTAATCAATTAATGCGTTTTACCAAAGTTCATTTTGAATGCGAATAATTTTCGGGCAGTTCAACAGTTTGTTTTATATTATGCTAATAACATTTTTAGTTCTGCGATTTTTAAGTGAATCTATTCCCTTCCATCCTATGTTTGAAGTACTTAGCAAGCTATACATATTATGGAATAACAAAAACAGTTTCGTGATGCACATCAAGAGAAATCAGTCTGTGCTGTCATTAATTTAACGCTTCCTCATCCTCTGGAGATTGTAGCGGATCTCTGTGCCAGGTGCAGGAGAAGGATCTCTACGATAATGTTTGGTCAAAAATTAGCCAATCGATTAGCTGAAATAAAAGCACAGCATTTCGCTGACCTTTTCTTGAGTAAGAAATTTTTTTAGGAAAATAGACTATAAAAGTAAGCCATTGTTTCGTATGTTCAGCATTAATTTTGATGAAGTTTTCCTAAGGTTACGTCCGGAGTTACGCATTAGGGTAAATTAATGTTCCCAAGCTATTCATAACTGGAAAAAACTACACGGATTACATCTTTACAAGTCTATTAATTATTCTATAGCCTAATATGTTTCATTTAACGCAAAATTTATGCAATATCCATGACATGCCATCACTCACCTCAACGATGGCCATCATGTTTCGGTTGATGTCCTCCTGATAAGGCGCGTCGTGAGGTAGAGGCCATCCATCATACAATGATATGCCATCACTCACCTCAACGATGGCCATCATGTTTCGGTTAATGTCCTCCTGATATGGCGCGTCGTGAGGTAGAGGCCTGTAAAGTTTATGGTACATCATACAATGATATGCCATCACTCACCTCAACGATGGCCATCATGTTTCGGTTAATGTCCTCCTGATATGGCGCGTCGTGAGGTAGGGGCCAGGCTACAGGGTCAGGGAAGATCTCCTCGCGCGCCACGTATAGCTGCGACTGCCCGTGCCGGTCCGTGAACTGCTCGGCGATCAGTAGCTCCATGTACCGGCGTGGCTCCAGATGCGCCGTGCTGCACACAAATGCTACGGTACAATTAATACTTAATTCATGAGATTTAAAAGTAATAAATAGTTTCGCAAAGGCAATTTGGGTAGGGTGGTCCAGTAGTTACAGTTCAGAGTAGCAGGATTGAAGCAGAAAGACGCGGGTTCGATCCCAGCTCTGTGCGCCAGTTTCTGGTCAGAATCGGCGAGGAGGCCGGGCGAAATTGAGGCAGTGAGTTGCGAGTTCGAGACCACAACAAGCCGTGGATGTTCTACGATGTTAAGAATCGGCGACAGGCCTACGGCTTAATAAACGCTGAAACCGCTATTATTATCATGACCATGCTGCCATAAAGAATGCTTACATGCGGAGAAGTGGATGTAATAAATGGTACCGCAAGGATGGACAACTTGGTTTGTGGACCAAACCGAAATATCAGGCACTTAATATTTTATTAGTGTGAAAATAATGGTGGAATGGAAATTTGAAATATGAAACGTCGAAACATATAGGAGTAAATTTTTTGTAATTAGATCGAAACTGTGCATTATTAAAAAGTATTTTAATAGATTTTCGTTTGTGGAAAGTTTATGGTTCAATTTAATGGTGACAGCCGGAGCTGAAATGAAAGCACTTTTGTAAAAAAGCCTTCTAAATCGTAAATTAAGCATAATAATAAAGGTAACTGTCGAATTAATCTCAATTTCTGATTCTAAACAACATCAGGACAATGGCCAAATTCGAAGGAATTATTATAATGTTTGTAATTATTTTCCGTGTGAACGGTGCGTCTAAATATGATTGAATTTACGCCTTTTCAATTGCGCTCTTCGTATAATAATTAAGCTACCAGATGCAATATTTACCCTAAAGGAATGCAATTAAAGAACGAATGCCTATTATAGGAGTTCTTTATCAAAAATTGGAACTAAAGTACAAAATAATTCGCACCCCGCATGGAGTGCGCTCTCTAAGCCCTCCTCCGAAGACTCGACGAGCACGATCTTCTTGCCGAGCTGCTGGAAGTCGGGAGACGTTGACTGCTCGAAGAACGTGATGAAATACTTGCCGAACGTCGGCATGGTGGCGCTATGGTGGTAAGGATCATTTGTAAACAGGTCAGAGTTTACAACCGACACAACTTATGGGTATGTGATGACATGATGTTGAAGTTAGAGCAGACATGATTATGAATATGATGCGAGCAGTATTATAAAGTTGACATGGAATCGAACAGAATCTTGGACAACCTTGAGTAGAGAGCTCTTAATAGCATGAGTGGAGACGGTGGCAATAATGGGCGGACCAAGGCACAGTCATGACACATATGGGGCAGACCAAGGCATAGTCATGGCACATATGGGGCAGACCAAGGCATAGTCATGGCACATATGGGGCAAATCAAGACACAGTCATGGCACATGTGGGGCAGACCAAGGCACAGTCATGACACATACGAGACAGGCAATTAAGGTATAGCACATCGGGCAAAAGTTTATGCAGACAAGAGTCGAAAGCTGGAAAAAATCGACCTGGGAATAGATTTAGACGCACGCAGTTGCAACAGACGCTAATATGAAGCTCTAGAGTCTAGACAAACGCGGATCGGAGATTGGGACATGCACGGGCACGAATAAATAAATTAATAAATTAATCGGACAATAAATCTTGGGACCAATTTATATTGGAAGTGGAGACACAATGGCGGAAGTTAGCACTGGCACGGATTGAAACTCGGGAGATACTATATAGATAAGCGGTTGACCGAGTAAGCATATAAGAGAGACTATAGATAAGCGGTTGGCACGGAGAGACCAGCTTTTATACCGCCGTCAACCCCTTTATAGGATATCCAACTTTTTTTAATTCGTCCCCTTTCATGCACACATTCTCATGCGCGTAAAACTACTGGGCGCATTGTATTGCATTGAACGCAACTTTTCACTATGAGCATAATACTCCCATAAGTTTATCCAAGTCTTTAGTTGTGTCATCATTCTCTGGGGTAGATATCAAACACTTTGATTGACACTCCATGTACTGCCATGTACTGGAGCATGAAAGCTATAAGTATAGAAAGCCTCAAAATAGAGAAATGCAGCAAATAACATGATAACAATGAAGTAATAATAATAAAAATTATTATTTCCCACTTATTTACACTAAGTTGATCAGTATTGAAACTTTCAATAACTTGCTAAGGAAATGAGATTCCGAAATAATTTTAATAACACTAGACC